TGGAACTGAAGGATATTATTTTGAGCAAAATAAGTCAAACAGAGAAAGACAGTTATCATACGGTTTCACTCATATGTGGAATATAAGAAACAGTGCAGGGGATCATAGGGGAAGGGAGGGAAAAGTGAATGGGAAATCATCAGAGAGGGAAATAAACCATGAGACTCTTAATTACAGAAAACAAAGTGAGGGTTGCTGGAGGGGAGGTGGGTGGGGGATGGGGTAATTGGTGATGGACATTAAGAAGGGCACATGATGTGATGAGCACTGGGTGTTATATGCAACTGATGAACTATTGAACTCTACTTCTGAAACTAATGATGTACCGCTATATGTTGGCTAATTGAATTTAAATTTAAAAAATAGTAAATTTTTTGGGAGGGGGTATATGTCAATGTTGACTTGTTCATTCACTGATTCAATAGACATATTTTTGGAGACCTTCTCATTTGTCAATTCTGGGAAGTATGAGAATGTATATTGGAGTAGGCAAAATAATGGTCCCCTAAAGTTTCCACATTCTAATCCCTGAAACCTGTAACTGTTTCTTTATATGTCAAAAGGGACTTGGCAGGTGAGATTGAGTTAAGGATCTTGAGATGGGGAGAGTATCCTGAAATATCCAGGTGGGCCCAATGTAACCATAAGGATTCTTTAAAAAGGAAGGCAGAGGGTCAGAGTAAGAGAAGCAGGTTGATGGGAACAGGGAGGCGTGGAGAAGGAGAGGAAAAAGAGAGATGTTCAAGGATGCCATTTTGGAAAGTATGCAGGTGATTTTTAGAAGCTGAGAAAGGCAAGGAATTGGATTCTCCCTTTGAACCTTCAGAAGAAACACAGCCATACTAACACATTGGTTTTATGACTTTTGTTCTCCAGGAAGTTAAGGTAAAAAATTTATGGCATTTAAAGGTACTAAATTTGTGGTAATTTCTTACAGCAACAATAGGAACTCAGAGGCAGGTCCTGAAAAGCACCCTTTGAGAGCTGAAAGATGAGGAGATAGGCAAGCAAATTTGGGGAAAGGAGAAAGAATATTTCACACCAAGAGATTAGTTTATGAGGTTCACCAGGAAGATAGCTGGTAAGTATAATGAACTAAGTCAGTGAAAAGATGAAGCAGGAAAGCAGGTTTCTGATGCTGGAGACAAGGAGGCAGGAGTTCGAATAATTTTTATAAGGCATTCTATGAAATGAGAACAATAATACCTATCTTAAAGTGTAAAAATTAAAGGATCCATTTAAGTACCTGGTACATCACAAAGTACTCAAAGAATCTTAGCTAACTGTTAAAGTTCGAACTTAAGATGTTTAAAGATTTAGTGTAGAATATGGCACGTAAGATAAACTTATCCAGAGATACAACAAATCCTACAGACGAGTGCATTAACATAGGGAGACAGATTAACAAAGAGTTCTACAGTGAATATCTGTATAACCATAAAACCAGTCCCCTGTCCTCATGGAGCTTACAGCCTAGAGGGGGAGACAAACTCTAATCAAATATGGGGACAAACACTTTGAAGGAGATACAATGTGAATGTAATAACAGGACTTTTCCTAGTCAGGAGAACAAAGAAGAATCTCTTACGGAGAAGCTTCTTGAGGTGACCACTAAAGGAAAAGCAAAAACAAACCAGCTCCAATGGGAGAGGGAAAGAGCATTCCAAGTAGAAGGAACAGCACCTGGGATCCCTGGGTGGCGCAGCGGTTTGGCGCCTGCCTTTGGCCCAGGGCGCGATCCTGGAATCCCGGGATTGAATCCCATGTCGGGCTCCCGGTGCATGGAGATTGCTTCTCCCTCTGCCTGTGTCTCTGCCTCTCTCTCTCTCTCTGTATGACTATCGTAAATAAAAAAAAAAAAAATTAAAAGAAGGAACAGCACCTATAGGCTGAGGCTATGGAGAGCGCAGACTGTGCAGAGGCCTTGGAGTGATAATGTGAAAGGTAGGCTGGGCAAGGCTTTTTTGGAAAAACTTTGAATGCCAAGCAGAGATATTCTTCCCTAGACTTCTCGAGCTCCTTGAGGTCAGAGACCGTATCTTATCCAATTTTGTATCAAACCTAGAATAGGTTTGCTAAATTGACTGGAGTGCAGATTTTATTTCCTAGCTAATAGAATCTACTGAAGGTTATTTTGATTAGGTGAATTACAATATTGCTAGTCAGAGGACATAGTGACTGCTACCGTAGCAGGTGCCTGATGGCCTGGAGGACCGAATTTTGCCTGTGCAATCAAAAAGCTCTCTCATTTGAAAGGATAATTTAATTGTATTGTGAAGGTGGAGTAAAAAAACTTTTTTCTTAACTGATCTAAGAATGAATGTGAGGGCACTTGTTAAAGATCTTGTTTCTCAGGATCCATTCCTGACCCTCTAAATTAGGCCCGGGGACGGGAATGGGCAGCTGTATTTACTAACAAGCACCCCACCTGATTATTTTCAAAGTTTAGAAAACCCTAGTATAGAGCACATCCAAGGGAAAAGTAAAGGCACATACATATGAAAGAACCAGAAGATACACTTAGGAAATTACTGGAGAGTAGGGTGGCTTGAGGGGAAGTAGTTATTGCTGAGGCTGAGCTTTCTCCTTACTAAGTCAATCTTGTGAGTAATGAAGGACCATAAGAAGACCTTGGGTAAGGAAGGGAGTTTTTTGGAGAGGAAATAACCTGAGAAATTAAAGAGTATAAGTTTAAGCCATTTATGAGGCATAATTGATCATTTAATGGCTACTTCCACGAGAGAAATAAGAACAGTGTTGAAGAATAAATTCAAGGTTTCTGATATGGTGGACTGCCTTTATTAGGGAGGGGTAAGAAAGCATCCCATTTTGGCTTAAGTTTTATATGACAGATGACACCAAGTGCATACACCTACAGGCAGAAATAGAGACCTTTGGTTTGCGAGGTCTCAGGATGGGAACACAGTTATGGGAGTCATTTGGAAACAAGGGAATTTCACTTCTGTGAGGATATAAATTGATAAATGAACCAAGCATACAGTTAAGGGGAAACAGACATGCTGAAGTAGCATGTAAGGGAGAAATCAATAAAGGAGACTAGAGACGGAAGAGCTACCAACTGCAGTCTAGGCTACTCTAATCATCAGGTGCTTCCTAAACTCCCAGGGTAAGTGAACTGGAAAAAAAAAACATTTTAATTCTTAAAAATATTTTATTTAGTCATGAGAGACGAGAGACACCGAGACACAGGCAGAGGGAGAAGCAGGCTCCGACGTGGGACTCGATCCCGGGTCTCCAGGGTCACGCCGTGGGCCGAAGGCAAGGCTAAACCGCTGAGCCACCCGGCTGCCCCCAAGCATTTTAATTTTAGGATTGGACTGATCATAGACGTGCCACCTATTTGGAACCTTCTAAACACTCAGTAAAATTCTGGAAAACCTGCTATTGATTGACCCAACAAGCTAAAAGAAACCTACAAAATCAGGTAAGCCGTCGGTCCTTAAATTCAAGAATACCAGAAATCTGATGCTGGAATTTTAGTCCTGGCTCTTCCACTAATTTAGGCAAATCGTTTAAATGCTATGAACCTGAATTCTCCTCTTAAACACAACGGATGCTGGGGTAGCGAGATGATAGCTCAGGTTGCCTCGAGCTCTAAAATCTAAGGTTTCTCCAGAGATCCAAGCAAGTGGGAGGTGGAAATCTTAAACAGGGTCATGCAAGAGCAAATCTCGAAGTAGGAGATAGTCTCCCGCTCTCACCCTTCTCCTCCATGAATAGGGACTTGGAGAGGCCTTGGGTACCTTTCCAGCCCCCGTCATGAGTACACTTTCCGTTGCCTCTCACCCCACTCTTGAGTGGCGGCTGGTGTCCCATCAGTGGACTGGCATCCATTTGCTCCCCGCCTAGGACACCTCCACTTCCTTGGTTCCTTTGAAGCGACTTTGCAAGTACTTGAGACTCCCCTTTTCTTCGGCATCACAAGGCTTCTTCTTCGGGAGAGTCTGAGGGACCAAGGAGGTTCAGTAAACACTCGGGCCTCAAGAGCTACAGACCCCACCCCCACCCCCCCATAAAGCCCTAGAATTTTAGAAGCAAAAGATTTTTTAAAATGGTTAAGCCTAATGACTTCCTTGCAAGAGGCATTTGAACTCTATTATTAAGTAGCCCTGGGGCGGGGCGAATACGGAGTTGAGGGGGGCCGCTCTCCTTCGCGGGATGATCGGGGACGCTTGCCCCAGGCGCTGTGCTGGTTCGGAGGCCCACGCTGAAGACCACCCTCGTGGGGTCGTCCCCGACGTGGGTTCCTGCACCGAAGGAACGTCACGCAGTCCCCACAAGGGCGACTGGGTGGATTCCTTAAGGATTAGCCGCGGACTTCCCCCCTGCAAAAGGACGGACAGACCAACGCCCTTCCCCGAGCGCCGCCTCGCGCACCCGAGGTCGCTTTTACGCTCACGACGCTAAGCGCCCGCCGCAGCCGGACTGCTTCCGGGGACGCACCAACTCTCCGGCGGGCCCCTCCCCGCCCCCTGGCCACGCCCCTCCCCGCCCCCTGGCCACGCCCCTCCCCGCCCCCTGGCCACGCCCCTCCCCCTGCACCCCGCACCTCCCTCCAGCCCCCTCGCCCTGGACCTGCCACGCCCCCCGGCCCCTCCGCTCCAAGCCCCGGCCTTCCTGCCCCGGGTCCGCCAGTCTCCGCACGTCCCCCCCGCACCACCCCCCTACCCGGCCCGGACCCGCCACGCCCCCGGCCCCGTTCTGCCACGCCCCCGCCACGCCCCCCGGCCCCGCCACGCCCCGGCCTCTTTCGCTCCCCGCATGCCCCGTCCCGGCCACGCCCCCGCCACGCCCCCGGTCCCCTCCTCCGGCCCCGCCACGGCCTCCGCACCCCTCCTCGCCCAGAGTCCGCGACGCCTCCGCCCACCTGCCCCGGCACGGCCCCTGCACCCCTCCTCGGCCTGGGCCCGCCCCCTCCTCTTCCCCCCCGGGTCCGCCCCGGTCCCAGCAGGCGCCGCGCGTGCGCCGCAGCCCCGCCCCCTGCGGCGCGGAGTGATGGCGGAGCTGGACGTGGGGCGGCACTGCCAGGTGGAGCGCTGCCGGCGGCGAGGTGACCCCGCGCCCCCTAGCCAGCGGCTGGGCGGACCCGAGCCCCGCTGCGCCCTCGCGGAGGGCGGTGGCGGGCGAGGGGCGGCCGCGCGCTGGGGAGCGGTGTGGGGAGGCGGGGTGGCCGGCAGCGAGGGCGGCTGGGGCGAGCGTGCGGCCTCCGGAGGGAGCCGTGCGCGCTCCCCCGGCTCTCGAGGGTCCTCGCGGGCGAGGGGCGCTGCCTGCCGCGGGCGGCGGGTGCAGGGGCACCGTCTCCTCTAGACTCCCGTGGCTTGCGGTCTGTGTGTGTTCCGCCACGGGCCGGCGTGGCCAGCGGTTCAGGGAACCCGTGTTTCCTTGTAGGTCGTTCACAGAGAAGCGTGGGCACCTGGGTTCTGAGTTAGGTTTGTCTCAGGTTTGCACGATGACTAAGTCCGTGGGATCTGCCACCCTCCAGGGTCTCTTAGGATACAAGTCACATGTGAAACGAGGCCAGCCTTTAGCCTTCTGGGAGTAGTGGAGAGGGGGTTAGGATGGAGAGGCTACTAAACGAGCGTCCTAAATCTCCCTTAGCTTCTGAACGGATAGGAAGATAGTGTCAAGGGGGTTACCTTGATCTTCACTCTTCCCTCCGGGTCCTCTTGGTGTGCCTTGAAGATTTAGTTCATCACCAGAAGTCTCAAGATAGCAAGCATGCACAATTTTTTCCCCCCAATTTGAAACACATAATATCATATGCTTCAGTTTCCTCTTGCTGACAAACATATAACGTACTTTTTTTGGCATGAAACATGCTCACAGTATCATGCCTTCATAACGAGGGCCAGTCATTTGGCCTACTTTTTTTTTTAATATAGTTTTTTTTTTAAGAAATATTTATTCATGAGAGACAGAGAAGGGCAGAGACACAGGCAGAGGGAGAAGCAGGCTCCATGCAGGGAGCCCCACGTGGGACTCAATCCTGGGTCTCCAGGATCACACCCTGGGGTGAAGGTGGCACTAAACAGCTGAGCCACCCAGGTATCCCCATTTAGCTTACTTCTGAGGAAGGACTGTATTCAGCCCTCCTTGTCCCAAAAGCAGAATTATCCAGGGATCCCTTTGGGTTATAATAGGACCTCTTTCTGTTTTGGTTGAGATCTTGTGAGGGCAATTGTAGTCTTCTCTCAAGTGCAGCGCCTTTTGTTTTCACTCCGTAAAAGTGGTGACATTGGACGTATCCAGCTTCACTTGACTGTACTGTAGTAGGAGGTGCAGTCAAAACAATTAGAGGGTGATTGTGTCTAGTGGAAGAGTAAATACTTCTGTGTGCTTTTCAGAAATTCATTTCCTTAGTTGTTCCTCTACAGAAGGGAAAGAAATACTTAAAGGCTAAGTTTGGCAGTATCAATTCATCTATTGAATTTCTGAAATTTCTTTGAACACATTTCTCCCACGTCACCACAGGGTTTTTCTGAGTCCAGCATATTCAAAACAAGTTAATTGTTGCAGTTATTCTTATAGCTACTCACCATTCATATTTTTTTACATGTGTCTCATTTGGTTTTGCAAACCAAAACCTCTGTGAAGTAGGTGTGATATATTGCATAGAAACATATATGTACAAACATACATAAATACAGGTACAGAGGGCAGCCCCGGTGGCGCCCCTTCAGCCCAGGGCTGATCCTGGAGACCCGGGATCAAGTCCTACGTGGGGCTCCCTGCGTGGAGCCTGCTTCTCCCTCTGCCTATGTGTCTGCCTCTCTCTCTCTCTGTGTGTCTCTATGAATAAATAAAATCTTAAAATACATGTACACAGAGAACTGATGTGCTTATATGTGTATCTTTGTTACCTAATAGTGCTTTGGTTTTGTGTGTATATGTACACACACAACATACTATACTACATTCTATATCAAGTATGTGTATGTATCCAAAGCTTTACTAATTTTTTCTTACTAAGTGATGTGGATGGTTCATTTTACTTTTCTATAACTTTTTAAATTGACATCATTAACATATGTTATATTAGTTTCAGGTGTACAATAGATTGAGCAATTCCATATATAACTGCTTACCATAAGTGTCATCATTGTCACCATCCAGTATTATTATAATATTGACTATATTCCTTACACTTTTCATTTCTGTGACTTAATTATTTATAGCTGGAATTTGTACCTCTTAATTCCCTTTATCTATTTCACCAATCTGACCCTCCTCTCCTCTGGTAACCAGTTTGATTTGTGTATTTAAGAGTGAGTTTTTTGGTTTGTTTCTCTGTTTTGTTTTTAGCTTCCACATACAAGTGAAATCACATGGTATGTCTTTTCTGTCTTATTTCACTTAGCATAATACTTTCTAGTCCATCCATGTCAGGAATGACAAGATCTCATTCTTCTTTATGGCTGAGTATTATTCTGTAGTGTATATATACGTACTACGTTTTTATCCACTCATCTATCATTGGACACTTGGGTTGTTTCCATATCTTGGCTATTGAAAATAATGCTGCCATAAAACATAAGGGTGCATAGGTCTTTTCAAATTAATGCTTTTATTTTCTTTGGGTCAATACTTAGTAGTAAGATTACTGGATCATATGATAGTTCTAATTCTAATTTTTTGAGGAAACTCCATACTATTTTTCACAGTGGCAGCACCAATTTACATTCCCACCAATAGTGTGTGAGGGTCCCTTTTTCTTCACGTCTTCACCGATACTTGTTTTTTCTTGTGTTTTTGATTTTAGCCATTGTGACAGATTTAAGGTCATGATAGCTCAATGTGATTTTGTTTTTGTAGTTCCCCTGTCCCTTCTTCTCTTGCTCACTTCCCTTGTGGTTTGATGACTTTCTTTAGTGTTAGGCTTGCATTCTTTTTATTACGTATTAGGTATTTTTTTCTGCTTTTAACATTATCCTTTTTAGAGAGTGGGGATAGGAGGGGCTAAGAGAGCGAGAGAGAAGTTTTAAGCAGGTTCCATGCCAGCATGGAACCCAGTGCAGAGCTCAATCTCATGACCCTGCGATCATGAGCCGAAACCAAGGGTCAGATGCATAACCAACTGAACCACTGAAGTGCCTCTAAAATTATCTCTTTTATCATTACTTTTTTCTATGTTAATTATCATGTGTCTTGGTATGGACCTCCTTGGGTTCATCTTTTTGGAGGTTCTCTTCGCTTCTTGGGTATGGATGTCTGTTTCCTTCCTCAGATAAGTTTTTTGCCCTGCTCTCTCTATTCTTTTGGGTTCCCTATAACGTGAATGTTAGTACACTTGATGATGCTGAGTTCCCTTATCCTATCCTCATTTTTTATTTTTACTCTTGCTTGATTGCTTTTCATGATCCTGTCTTTCCAGATTGTTGATCTGTTCCTCTACCTCTCATCTCTTGTTCTCTCTAGTGTGTTTATTTCGGTCATTGAATTCTTCATCTCCGACTAGTTCTGTTTTATAGTTTCTATATCTATGTTGAAGTTTTCACTGACATCATCCATTCTTTTCTCAAGTCCAATGAGTATCTTTGTGACTATTGTTTTCTTTATTGGGAGTATTGCTTATCACAGTTTCTTTTAACTCATTTGCTGTAATTTTTGTACTTTTCTTTAATGTGGGACATATTTCTCTATCTCATGTTGTGTAGCTTTGTGTTGCCATGTATTAGATCAGCTATGTATCTTGGTCTTGAAAGTTAGTGTACGTGTGTAGAAAAGGTCCAGTGATGTTTTGTAGTACAACGCCACTTGGTCACCAGAACCAGATGCTCCAGGGATATCTTCTCTCTGGCCTGCATGCCCACTACTGTTGTGAGTGAGCCTCATTTGCTTTCAGCCCTGTTGGCTGCAATGACTTATTTTGCCTGCTATGGGCACACCAGGTAGAGTTTGTTTCTGCACTGTTGAGAAGTTTGTTGGGCTTGTAGATGGGCAGACTAGCAGTCAGACTAGGTGTCTGCTATCAGCCTCTGTGGTCCCACTGAATGCCAGGGCTTTCTCCCCGTGTGGCCGGCTAGAAGTTGCTGGAATTTTGGGCATGCCGGTGTGTGGGGTATCTGCATCTCCCCAGGGCAGGAGTCCCCTTGAAGTGGTGCTGGGACCTGCTCACAGGTATGGCAGGAGAGGAACCACTATGGAGGGAGTCTGCTGAAGTAAGCAGATTGGATGGGGTAGGAACACAGGTGAATGCGTGGGTAGACACACTGAACTAGCAAGGTGGTTGCAGAGTGTTAGTTCTGGCTCCTCCAAGTATCCAGGAATCACCTGAGAAAGGAAAAGAGAAATGGTGCCCCCTAACACTTTTGTTCTTTAAAAGTCTGAAGATCCCTGTCCCTCTGTTGCACATTCTGAGATTAGTAAATAAATTGCCTTCATGAATACCCCAGTTGTTTTTCAGACTGCTGCTTCTGTGCTAGTTGCCACCTGTTACTTATTCTAGCTTTTTAAGGGTGAGGACTCAGCTGTTAGAGATCTTTAAAGAACCTGGAGGCAAGCCCCGCTGATCTTATTTTATTTTTTTTTAAATATTTTATTTATTTATTCACGAGAGACACACAGAGAGGCAGAGACACAGGCAGAGGGAGAAGCAGGCTCCATGCAGGGAGCCCGATGTGGGACTCAATCCTGGGACTCCGGGATCACACCCTGAGCCAAGGGAGGACGCTCAACCACTGAGCCACCCAGGTGTCCCATGCCCCACTGATTTTAAAAGCTTGTGAAGGTTAGCCCACTGGTTTTCAAAGTTGGACCTTATGAGGACTCCTTCCAGTACAGGTTTCCAGGAGCTGGGGTGCCTGGTAGCTCTGATCCTCTAGCTTCTCTGTGCTTGTGGTGTCTCATTTATGGTTAGTCTTCCCTCAGGTTTGGTTCCCAACTGTGTCTCCACCCCTCCTACCCTTCCAAAATGGCTCCCTTTGTAGCATTAAGTAGGGAAGGTCTGTTTGGTATCTTCAGGTGTTTTTCAGATGTAGCTGTTGTCTCAGCGTGTCTGGGAGGAGATGAGCTCAGGATCCTCCTATGCTGCTGTCTTCCATCCCCCACAAAACTCTACTATTAAATAGTATGCTTAGCCTTGCCAAATAGGTAAACTGTGGAATCGGAAATGAAACGCAGGATTTTTACTACAGATGCAGGGTTTTTGCAGTATACAGTACTCAGAAACAACATATAGTAAATCTGGGCATCCAAAAAACCCATTACTTTTTTTCTGACTTAGCAGACTGCTACAAAGAACATTTATCTCCTGATGATCCAGTTATCAGAGTGCTTGAGGTTGTGATAGCTTTTATTTAACCATTACTTCCTACACTAGGCTATTGGTCAAAAAGAGTTCTCCTATAGATGTCATTTAGTACTTTAAGAATCTTTTTAAGAAAACTAAATCAAAATCAAATACCGACTAGTGCATATATAACATTTTCCCTCCATTTTAGATTTCCTTCCATTTGTGTGTGATGGTTGTTCAGGAGTATTTTGGTAAGTTTTTTTATGCAGGATTTGGTGTAATTTTATTTATTTATTTTTAAAGATTTTATTTATTTATTCATGGGAGACACACAGAGGCAGAGACACAGGCAGAGGGAGAAGCAGGCTCCATGTAGGGAGCCCGATGTGGGACTCCATCATGGGTGTCTAGGATCAGGCCCTGGGCTGAAGGTGGCGCTAAACCACTGAGCCACCTGGGCTGCCCAGATTTGGGTGTAATTTTAATGTTTGTAATATGAGATTTATTTCTGAAAAGCAGAATGATTTAAATTAGTTTTTACTTTAGCCATTGATATTTTATAATAATTACTTAGAAAAAAGTATAGTCCTAGTCTCTGATTACTTGTGCATATATGTGGCTACACTTTAAACTTTCAGAAATGGATTTATGTGTGATTTTTTTTTTTTTTACATAAAAGTTATATTTGGGTCTTGTAATCACATGAGAGAACATATCCACAATATAAAGAATATGGTAGAAAACAATCCAGGTATTTTATTAATTAAAATGAGCCCAACCTATACACCTCTTTAATTGGATATTACAGGTCCTTTGCACACACATCACATGCAAGGTAAAAGCTGGGAACTAACCAGGAATTTTGGAAAATATGTTTTCTTTGTAGTTAAACTTTCATGTTTTAGGCTTTTTTTTTTTTTTTTTTTTAAGATTTTATTAGAGTGTGTGAGCATGCAAGTGCAAACACAGAGAGGGGCAAAAGAGGAGACAGAAAGGGAGAAGCAGGCCTTGGGATTCAATCCCAGGACCCTGACGTCCTGATCTGAGCCTAAGGCAGATGTTTAACCAACTGAGCCACCCAGGCGCCCCTGTGTTTTAGGCATTTAATTTATTAATTAGAACACAGAAAGAATAAATTATCTTCAGAAAATAACTCAGAAACATTTATTAGGATTAAATAAAAGTAATGCACATTTTTAAGTCCTTCAGAACTAGAGCACTGACATTTTATTCCTGATGGTCTTTGAGAAATAAGGGATTAAAAGACTCTTTGTATTTGTACACACCTTAAAGCATTCAGAGGTAGTTTAGAGTGGTGAATTGTTTTTATTCATACTGAAGTTGAACAGTTGGGTTTTGAAACTTTTGAGACTATAGATGTCCTATCTTTAATTTGTCTGGCATTTCAGTTTATTCTTAAATGCAGAGTTATTAGTGTAGTGTGAGTAACTGATCTTAAGGATACTAATCATTAAAATATATCCAATTACTACAGTTAACTTTAAGTACATTATTTTATTGCATTTAAATAAGCTTGCTTTTTTTTTTTTAATCATTTAAGCCTTGAACACAGAAGCAGAGAGTCACATAGCTGCCCTGAGGTACGTTACTAGTTCTCCTAATAAAATATGTTTGTATTTATGTACTTTCATTTAGAATTTGATTAAACTTAAAACCAGTCAGTGTACCACAGATTAGAATTTGGCATATTAAATTGATCATATAAAGACTTAGTTCATTTTCTGTTATTATTCTCAGTTTTAAAGAAAAATTGATCTTTATTTTAATTGTATATATATATAAATGTATATAAATTGTATTTATAAAGTGTTATAAATCTTGTGCATTGCAGTTATGTTTGGGTAGCCCACTTACAGCTGTGGGCTCTATATAAATATACTATGGAATTAATGTTAGGTTTTCCCTAAATGAACGGCGGAGAAATTAAAAATGGCAGAGCCAGGCAGTAGGTTCAAGAGTGCTTTAATGGGGAGCGCTCCTGAGGTTCTGTGACTCGGAGGGGCTTGAGTCAGGGAAGTCTTGCCCAGGCAAATCGCAGGAGGGTCTATAAAGAATTTTCGGGGCGAAGATGTGGGAAGGGTGGCATTCCGATTAGGGCAAGGATTACAGGTCTTTGTAAGCTAAGTTAGGGTAGGAAGGTAAGGTGGTGTTGGTGGGAAGATGGGAGTATGGTGGCATTCCAGTTAAGGCAAGGGTTACAGGTCTTTGTGTGCTAAGTTAGGGTAGGGCGCCAAGGTGGCCTTATTGGGAGGTTGCTGGCCTGGGGTCGGCCGTTTTGAGGTCCCCAGTCTCGCCAGCCCAACAGTTAACATCCTCATCATATACTCCTTCAAGTTTTCTTCACAGTTTTGTTCATTTTCTCTATTTCCTGATGCTGGCATTCTGTGGTTAAAACTTGTTCTGACTCAGTCAGCCTGACATCACCACAAACATACCTTTAGTCCAATAACCTCCCCATCCCAATTCTGATCAAATTGTGAGATTTATAAGAGCTGATAGAAGCCAAAATATCATTGTTACTACTTATAAAGGATAAATTGAATGATTAGGCTTAGCCTAAGAGGCTAGAAAGAAAATCTAGAATTAAGCAGATTTCCCCACTAGTTATAGTAGTGCTCCCCCAGGTTAGTCCTCCTCCCCTCGAGGGCAGTTCAATTTGAACAGAGAAGAAGAGAAAACAGCTCACCATGCCAAATGTAATTTTCTCAAATTTATAATAAGATAAGTTAAAAAAAAAAAGTTGCTTTACCTCCTTTGATTAGAGAGTCAGGAAGTTGAACTGAATTCACTCCATTTGGAAGAAAGCATGTGCCTCACATTTTTCAATTGATATTTATTCCTACCCAGCATTTACCAAGCACTTTACTGAGGATTTTTATATCTGTTCTCTCAATTATAGAAAATGAAGGTTAAAAGAGCTTCAGTCCAAATCTGTTCATTTGCGGTTTAGGTGATTTATGTGAGGAAAATAAAAATTAACATTTTGGTATTATGCAGGAATAATTGGAGAGAAATAGTCATATTAAGTGTCTTCTACAGGTTGTAAATCTTTGCTTTCCTTTTTCTTATGATATCTTTTGATTTTCTACAAATGTCTCTCATACAATGTCAATTAGATCTTATTAAATAATGAAAATCATTTTACCATTAGAACATTAGAACAAATTTGGAAAAATAGTCAAGAAGTTAATTCCAACAAGATAGAACTACCATTCATATGGAGGAATGCCCTTTGGTTGTAGACTTTAAGAAATTATTTCACTAAATTCATTCAACTCTAGAAACCTAGTTACATAAAACTCAAACTAGCCTGACCTGGATTTTTTCTTTTTTTAATCTTATAAAATCTCTTTGTCTATTGTAGTATTTGCTGGTAATACAATAATGCAGAGTAGAGAATGTAGCAGAATAGAGAGTATATCATGATGAAAACCATCTTTAACGTTCTATATCATGGATAAACATAATTTTAAGTTTTCTCATATAAATAATATATTTAACATCCTAAAATTGGCCTAGAAAGTTATGACTTGCTATTTGAGGGTTAATGAGATGATTACCTAGCGATCTTTGTTTAGGACTGTGATACAATTTAGAAGACTAAATTATGAAGAGTAACTGAATAGTCATTTTAACTTGACTTAGAAGATAAGTATCCTGCAGTAAGAAAGTTATGAAAATGGAGAACAGTCAGCACAGCAATCATTTCTCACACATTTATTATAATCTGTTATATGTAAGTTCTGAGAAGTTTAAGCAAAAATGATATGAACGTTGCCTTCTAAATAGGTGTTACTTTGCTATGACTGTGGAATATATAATGCCACTTGCTCCTTTGTATATTTTCAGGTAACTGTAGTCCATGAGAGACTGAAGTCAGATAAGCCTACATCTTATCCATGCTCATTCAAGGACTGTGCGGAAAGAGAGCTTGTGCCAGTTACATGTCCTTATTGTGAGAAGAATTTTTGCCTGAGGTAATCACACCATTCAAATTCTGTATATATTTAAGTAGTATGCAAATACATGAACTAGTGTCACTCTTCTGTTGCTCTTAGGCACCGTCATCAATCGGATCATGAATGTGAAAAATTGGCAATTCCTGGGCCTCGTATGGTTGCCACTCAGAAACTTGTTAAAGACATTATTGGCAAGTATCTAGAAAGCTTGTTTTATTGTTTACTTTTTATTTTTTAATTTTATTTATTTATTCATGAGAGATACAGAGAGAGGCAGAGACAGAACAGGGAAAGCAGGCTCCATGCGGGGAGCCTGACGTGGCGCTTGATCCTGAGTCTCTAGGATCACGCCCTGGGCTGAAGGCTGCCTTAAACCGTTAAGCCACCTGGGCTGCCCATGTTTCCTTATTGCTACGTCTCTGTTACAGAGTCCTGCTTCTTAAGTCAGCTTGCAAGGTATAGAAGGTGTTCCTAATGGCCTCAAGGAAGTGTACCCTACCAGATGTTCTTTTACTGGGCCACTTAGGTCAGCTGGTTAACTATCATGGCTGGAAGTGGCACTCATAACTCTAGTGTAGTGGTCTGCTTTCTCTAAATACTAATCTTAAATCTCATCAGCTGTTCTGTGAATGCTGCTGATAATCTGAAGTGCCAGGAAGAATAGATCTGTGACGTAGACCGTCCCTCTGGTTAGTTTAATGTTTTTATGTTTGTTTGTTTTTTAACAATTTATTTATTCATGAGAAAGAGAGACAGAGACAAAGACACAGGCAGAGGGAGAAGCAGAGGGAGAAGCAGGCTCCATGCAGGAGCCCAACGTGGTACTCGATCCCTGGTCTCCAGGATCACGCCTTGGGCTGAATGAAGGTGGTGCTAAACCGCTGAGCCACCCGGGCTCCCCTAATGGTGTTTTTATAATGGTCACTTAAGTATGATACTAACGAAGAGTGTGGTGTCTCTTGCTCTATTGTTTGTAATCTGTATACATTTCAAGGCCACAACTAATAATAGAACTCTGGAAAATGTAATTAAAAATTCTACGTGCTTATATACTTAAGCTTACTTTTTAGATTCTAAGACCGGAGAGACAGCAAGTAAACGAAGGAAAGGTGCAAAAAATAGTGAAACAGCTGCAAAGGTAGCGTTGATGAAATTAAAGATGCGTGCTGACGGAGATAAGTCATTGCCACAGGTTGGTCTCAGATTTGGAAAAACAGTGTTCCCAAATATAATTGAAGTGCCCTTTTCATTCTTCCCACCCATCAAGTAACAATTAATCTGAACGTGGTATGTATTGTTACTAGTATTGCATGGTATATAGTTTTGAGTTTTTTCACTTTACAGACTTGTCAGTGAACCATATGTATTCTTTTTCAACCTTTTTTTTTCCCCCCACTTGTCATCATGTTTTTAACACTTATCCATGCTGATACATTTAGTCTGGTTCATTCATTTTGATAGGTGCACATTATTCCACAGTATGTATATACCACAGTTAATCCATTTTCCTAATGAACAAGATTCAGATTTTTTCCTTATCTTTTGCTATTATAAACTGTTCCAACAGTGAACATCCTTGTGTATGTATGGGAATGGGTGGTCCCTTTAAAACCACCCTCTTCTAGCGTGGTCCCTTTAAGACTCCATAATATCAATCGTATTTTATGTAATCTCCCAGTATGTACGTACATACCTATGTATATACATACTTTAACACAGTTTCAGTAAGTAATACCTAGTTTTATATTATATATTAGCCTTTTGTGTTAACATTCTCTGATGGCTTTTGTTCTATTTTGTTTTATCTTAAAGATTGTTGATTTTATAACCCTTAAAGGAGTGAGACCATCAGATTGAAAAATGCTGCTGTAGTAATATCTCTAGAAATAGAAAAGCTGGGTCATGGGGTTTGCTCATCTTCAGCTTTACTAGATACTATCAGCTTTCTGCTGTCAGTGGTTATTCTGATTTATCTCCTTCCTGTGGTGTCTGAGAGTTTCAGTGTTTGTTTCTAAACTTACTGAACTATAAAGTTGAATTTTCTTTGTGACTAATAAGGTTCAGCCACTTTGCATTGATTTATTGGCCATTTTATGTCTGAATTCACATCCTTTGCACATTATTGGGGTTTTTTTTGGCACTTTAAAAAATTTAGAGGACTTTTTATATATTCTGAATTCTAATGCTTTGAGTAAGTGGATTTCACATCTTCTCAGTATATGACTTGTCTTTACTTTTTGATTTCTTTAGTAGTTCAGACTTTAAAATTTTAATGTACTCCGTTACTTAAATCCTTAAGATTTGTACCTTTTGAAATAAGTTGTTTAAGATTTTCTTATAATTTCCTTTAAAAGTTTTAAAAATATTTATTAACTCTTTGTTCCATTTGGAATTTGTAAGTGAAATATTTTTTTCTCCCCCAAGGGATTTCTGATTGTCATAAGATATTGAAGAGTTCATCCTTACATTGATACCTTTGTCGTACACCAGAGTGTTTCATACTTATAGGACTAATTTATGGATCTCAGTTCATTTCCTTTGGTTCGGTTGTCTATCTTTGCATTAATATCAAACTGCTTTAATTATCATAGTTTTATAATTAGTGGGAGAAGTCATTCTACCTTATTCTTTACTTTCAACCACATCTATTCTTTTGTAAAAATTTATTCATTTGTAAAAATTTTAGGATCACTTTGTCCTATTCTTTGAAATTGCAATTTTAATAGGAATTATGTTAAATTTTAGATGAGAGGCAGTTGACATCTTTAAAATTTTGATTCTTCCCATCCATGTCTATGATTTCCAATTGTTCTTTAGGTTTTTTAAAAATGTCTTTAATGTTTTATAATGCTTATACATATTTATATATTTTAGGCTCCTCATTATTTTTGCTGCTATTGTAAATGATAACTTTAAAAAATATATATATTTTCCTGACTATTGCTCATTGTTGTATGTTGTCCTTTTTTCTAGCAAATAATCTTTCTAATAGTTCCCATAGTTTGTAGATTTTCTGGGATGTTTTCTGTGTAGCCATATCTTCTACAAATGACAGTTTTATGGTTCCCCCCCCCCCAACTTTCCCCCTTCTCAGCACTGGCTGAGATCGCCTGAAAGTCTTGAATAATGTAGGTGACAGTAGGCATCTTAAGCATTTTTTGCACTTAAATGCAAATGACTTTAAAGTTTCATCATCAAATACTATATTTTCTGTAAAGTTTTGGTAGTAGCTTTCATCAAGTTAGCAGTACTTTTCCTAGTTTGCTAGGAATTTATATCATGAATAGGTATGAATTCTTACTGTAAGGTTTTTTTTTTTTTATTTTTTTCCCCCTTCTACATCCAACAGGATGATCAGGTGCCTTTTCTTTACAAATGTTTTACATTAATCAATCTTTTTGTTGAATCACCCACATATATCACAATAAATTACTTGACTGTGATATGTAATTATTTTAAAATGCACTGCTAGGTGATTAACGAATATATTAGTAGTGGTTGTGATATTAGTACCAAGATTATACACATAAAATTAGTTGAGTGGCTTTTTTTAATTCTTTGAAATTTTTGTAGAGAGTGGAGATTATATGTTCCTGAAGGGTTGTTTTAAAAGGTGTTATAACCTTTGAATCTGTTGCCTTTTTTGAGGTGAGAATTTTGAATACTATTTCACTGTATTAAATAGTTCTTGGTTTATTTGGATAGTCATCTGAAATTTTGGCAAATTTTTTTTTTGAAGATTTTATTTATTAGAGTGAGCACCTGAGCAGGGAGCAGGGCTAAGAGGGAAGGAGAGAGTCTCAAGCAGACTTCCCTCAGAGCACAGATCCTGACATGGAGTTCCTCAGGCTGGATCTCACAACCTTGAGATCATGACCTAAGATGAAATCAAGAGTCAGACAGTTAACCAATTGAGCCACCCAGGCACCTCAAATTTTAGTAAATATAAATTTGTCTTAAAACTTACTGTTTGATGTAGATTTTCCAGTTTGTTACATAGTTGTTCAGCTTATTCCCTTACGTTCCAAAATCTCTTATGTCTTTCGTAGTGCATTCCACTTCATTGTTAGTATTTTTTCATTTATACTTTTGTTTTCCCCTTGAATAATCTTGCTAGACGTTTGTGCATATATGTTATTTTTAATTTATATTTTAGTTGTTTTAAAGAACCATATTTTGGTTTTATTGATCTCTCTGTTTTTTGAGTTTTTTTTTCTGTGTCACTAAATTCTGCTTTTATATTATGTGCTAAAGAACTAATTATTTACATTTTGCTCTTTTTGTTTTGTCATTTGTAGTCTTTCTCCTGCCACCCTCCCATTTGTGTGTATTCGTATGCATGTCTTTGTGTATGTGCATACTAATTTTTGGTCTGCTTGATCTATCAGTTTCTGAGACTGAGGGTGTTAAAGTCTCCCACTAGAACTGGTTTTGTCAGATATCTTTTTTTGTAATTCTAATGGTTTTTCCAAACATGTTATCTGGTACTTGGAGTTTCTTCATTATATCTTTATGAATTTTGCCTTCAACTCTATTTTGAATGATAATATTGTTTCACTAGCTTTCTTTTAGTGAATAGTTAACTATTACATCTCTGTAAAATTTCTTTATATTCACCTTTCCTGTGTTTTAGGGTGTCTCTTGTAAGCAGCAAATAGCTGGACTTTTTTTTTTTTTTTAATCCAGATTGTATCGCTCTTTTATAGGTGAGTTGAATCCATTTATATTTATTGTGATCACTGATACATTTGAACATATTTCTTCCATCTTAGGTTTTTGGCTCATCAACCTTTTCCTTTGATTATTTCTCCCTCCTCACATCTTTTGTATTGATTACATTTTCTATATTTCCTTTTATTCTGGTTTAGAAACCGTTGATTATAGTCTTAGTGATTCTTTCTTTTTTTTTTTTTGAAATCTTGATTTGATGGTTTTAAAATTGCAAACATAGTACATGCTTTTGCATGTGTAGCTTTTAAAAGATGTATAAAGGGAAAAACCAACACAACATCCTCTGCCCGTGTCCTTCCCACTGAAGCAGTGGTTCTCAACTGAGTGTGGTTTTTGTTCCTAAGGGTTGCTTTGTCACAACTGGACATGGGGATTCTGTGGATAAAGAGAGCATAGGTGAGAGATGCTGCTAAACATCTTACTATGCATAAGACAATGCCAACAATAAAGAATTTTCTGGTTGACAAGGTTGAGAAGGCCTGCCCTAAGTAAGGTTCCAATAATATTGTTCGAATTACCTTGTAGTTGTTTCATTACTTAAGCATAATAGTAAAAACTGGTATAGCACTTACTTTGTTCTGGGCTCTCTTCTAACACATTTAATCCTCAAGCTTGTGAGACATGTACTGTTATCTCTGCCTAACAGTTAATAGAATTCAGGCACAAAAAGGTTAAGTAACTTGATAGTAGCATAGCATCTAAGTAGAGAACTACCAATTGAAACCAGGTGGGCTGGCTTCAGAAACCATGTTCTTAACACAGGTAATAGTTTATCATGCTATAGTTTTCTTTAGGATTTTTCTTTCTTTGCATCTTGCATTTATTTGTCTTTAATCAATCTGGAATTTGTTTTTAGCATATATTATGAGCTAAGGACCCAATCTTGTTTTCTTCCAGTTTTTTAGCTAATTTTGTCATCACCAATTGGATTGCCATTCTCCGATTGAAAGCGATATTTGATATTTCAGTTAATGAGAAGCTTAAGATTTAGTTTTACTGGATCCATTTTTGGATTTTCTGTTTTATTCCACTCATTTTTTACTCATATCGGTACCAAATTGATTTGATGCAATAGCTTTATAGAATGTTCTAAGATATGATAATGTAATTCCTATCTATATTTTCCTTATTAGTTTTATTCTTTATTCATCTATACTATTCGTTTTTATTATATTCAATGAAACTTCTGGGGGAGGGGTCAAAATGGGTGAAGGGGAGTGGGAGATACAGGCTTCCAGTTATGGAATGAATAAGTCATGGGACTAAAAGGCACAGCATTAGGAATATAGTCAATGATATTGTAATAACAATATATGGGGACAGATGGTAGCTATACTTGTGAACATAGCATAATGTATAAACTTGTCAGATCACTATGCTGTACACTTATGTATCGTTGTATGTCAACTATACTTAAACAACAACAACAAAAAACCCTCTTAGGATTTTCATAGTTGTCTTGATGAGACAAGATTTTGAGTGATGGACTCCAGTGGGTAACCTTAAAATTATGGGCTAACTTTAAAGGAAAAATGGAGAAACTGAGAGAAATGATTATAAATAGCAAGAGAGAACATAGATATTTTGCAATTTCAGTGCAGTGTTTCTACATATAGATTTATTTTAATTAGATTGGCTCTGGAGGTATATTTTTAATTTGACTTATTGTTTTACTTTTGTAAAATTAGTCATTATCTCTGAATATCACTTCCTTCTCTTCTGACCTTTTGTTAGACATGTTTTTGATATTTATAATTTCTGTCTTCATGTCAATTTGTGCTGCATTCTAGATGACTTTCTCAAATACATCTTTCAGTCAGTTAAACCTTTTTTATTGAAGATTATTGAAATTTCTCCTGTCTGTGTTTATGTCAGAAACTGTATTTTATTTTATTTATTTTTAAAAAGATGTTATTTATTCATTCATGAGAGACACAGAGAGAGGGGAACAGACACAGGCAGAGGGAGAAGCAGGCTCCGTGCAGGGAGTCCAATGTGGGACTCTATCCTGGGTCTCCAGGATCACACCCTGGGCTGAAGGTGGCGCTAAACCGCTGAGCCACTGGGTGCCCCAGAAACTGTATTTTAAGGTTTGTAGATGTCTCATTGGATCCTCATAGCTTGTCTTGTTTCATTTCTGCCTATTTTTGATTTATACCTTCTTGTTCCTTTTTTATGGATATATCCATAAAAGTATCTTTAAGTTAATCTGCCCATAGTAAGTTAAGCCTTTGTTTTGAATTTCCATTTATAGATTCTGCATGTCCATTTTGAGTAGGAGGTTGTTACTATCTTGCTCACTGTGGTCACTCACTTCTCCCTCTCTAGCAATTTTGCATTTTCTCCCACTGGCCCATCTACTCAAGACTTTGATTGCAATCCAAGTTTGAGATTGGCAGTTTGTGCTTTTGCTCTACAGAGACTTTTGGATTTTTGTGGATCTATTTACTGAGTTGGAAGACCTTGGCTTTGTTCACTATCAAGAGGTTCTATCTGTGCTTCCCTGCTTTCCTAGATACTGTTTTTTTTGTAAGCAGTAGCTTACATCAGCATTCAGTAGTACCTTCTTGAGTGTCCTTTCCTGGAGCAGAAGCCCCATGCTTAGTCTCTGCTTCCAGGCAGTAAGCCTGACCCAGGTACTTCATCTCCATGCGACACTGTTGTTTCCCACTAACCCACAGCTACACTCTTGACTACTTTCTCTTCCGGAGCTTTGAAAGTCTGTGGCTCAACTGGCCTATCACTTGTTTGCATTTGTTTCATTTTTAATCCTCAGGGTTATTTTTTCTTTTCTTTTTTTTTGCTGAGGCTATAGATTTAAAATTTTTTCCTTTTGTATTTAAGCTCTTGTTACTTCAATTTGGAGCAGAAACTATTAGATTATAGAGTTGGCCCACGGCTTAAATTTTTGACTTTTTTCTTTTAATACTTGTTATCTGTTATGGTATATTCCATTGGTTTTCAACAAATCTAAATTCCTTAGTGCTTAGAGGGAAATTGTGTTGAATCACTTATATCTTAGAATAATGGTGATTTTTCCTGTATAATTTAGAGATAGTCCAGTTATACCAAAATTTTTATTATAGGATGAATTGGTTTGTAAGTCAGTACTTTTTTAAAGCAATTTTTAGGAATCAGGGGAGATTAGAGGCCAAACAACTTTGTTCCTTTTTTCCCTCCCTATACCCCCCATTTAAAATTTATTTATTATTTATTGTTAACTAGGCTCCATGCCCAGTGTGTAGTGCAGTACAGGGCTTGAACTCATAACCCTGAGATCAAGACCTGAGCTGTGATCAGGAGTCCGACACTTAACCAACTGAGCCACCTAAGTACCCTGCTCTCCCACTTTTTTAATCTAGCAAGAAGATACAATATAAGGAAGCATAAGGGGCATAAAATACTACAGGAACCTCCAAATCTCTGAACCTTCTGTTTTGTTGATGAGGTACTTAATTGTCTTATTTATTTTTAGGACCTCTGTTCTCAGGAGCCCTGCTGTATTTAAATATGTAGTAAGGTCTTACAGGTGAATGTTATATGTATCAAGAATCTTTCAATTTCAAGTGACAAACTTGATAACTACTAGCTTAAAACAATTTTTTTCTTCTTCTATAATGGGGAGTGATGCATTGATTTGATCTCAAGGGATGACCAGATTCTGGGACTCATCCTGTTGAAAGAGTCCATCTCTTTCCTTGACATTTTTGTGTTGGAATCATTCTTTCCCACTTGAGGAAACTTTTCCACATTAGTTCAGGAATAGCTGAGAGTTATGGAGGGATAGCTACAGGCAACTTTAGGTTGAATTCAATAAGACTCAAAAATTTTTTTTTTCTTGGGGGAAAAAAAATGCTCCTCCCTTCTCCTAGTTTTTTAACATATCACCAGGAAAAGACCTTGATTAGCTTAATTTGTGTCACATGTTTGTCTTTGCACAGACCACCCTAGCCTAGGGTCTTATGCACATGCATTTAGGTGGATTCTTGGGTACTGTGATTGGTATTCCCACTAAAAGTTGCATCACTAGAGGGTAATCCTCTAACCAGGAGGAGAGTAAGACAAGTCACCAAACAAAAAGAGGTTCTCTCTATATGTAATCTGTATTTTAACTTTTTATTTTTGCAGACAGAAAGAGTTTACTTTCAGGTTTTCTTACCTAAAGGGAGCAAAGAGAAGAGCAAACCAATGTTCTTTTGCCACCGATGGAGCATTGGAAAGGTCATAGACTTTGCAGCTTCTTTAACCAGTCTTAAAAATGACAATAACAAATTAACAGCCAAGGTAACAATTGATTATAATTTTTCCCTAAAAGCTTTAGGATACTGTGTACCAGCATGTTTATTATAGTATGATTTATTTTCTTTAACAGAAATTAAGGTTATGTCACATTACTTCAGGAGAAGCCTTACCCTTGGATCATACTTTGGAAACCTGGATTGCTAAGGAGGATTGCCCTTTATATAATGGTGGAAATATTATCTTGGAATATCTTAATGATGAAGAACAATTTTTAAAAAATGTTGATTCTTACTTGGAATAGTCATGTAAGGACTCAAGCTGGAGATGACAAGGAAAATTTTATGTTAAGTCAATTTCCTTTACTACAAATACTATATATTTTATTTTTAAAAGTTGCTTTCTAACTTATTTGCATTATGTCATAATTTACATTATCAGTTTTCTCTTAAATTGAATTTGAATTTTTGTGTGTTAAAGTTTAACTATGAATGGACATTCAATTATCAGCAAATTCATGTCTTTAGCTTTTATTAGGTTCTGCTTAGTAACAAAAAAGGTGTATTTCATTTAGTTAATGTCAGTTGTCATGACATTCTGCTGCATACCATCTTTACTCTAGGATCAAAGCTGAAGGAATGACTCCTGTTTGGAGTCATTGCTACTTTTAAGGCAATGGAAGAAAGAGATGGCTTTAAGAAAATACACATGTAACTTTTGCTTTAAGCAAGTAACATGGCCAAGCCTAGCATCATGAGGCCAGGATATATGGCCTTAACTGTATATCCAGATGTATACATTGATGTGTGTACATGAATCATAGAAACTTAGAGACCATCTCATTCACTCTAAGTTTTTAGATGAGGAATCTCAGGCCTAGGAAGAAGAAACAGTTGTCTTGGTGTCATCTAACTGCTTTGGGGCATATCTCTGATAAAAGTCCTCCTCCAGTAGGATTTACCTTTTTTTTTCTTTTTTTGTATAAATGTATTACAAATGAGAGTAAGATGAAGTCCCACAACTTCATTACAGTATCTTTATATATATATATCAAAGCAAAATATATACCAGAAGGAACTATATTTTACCAACACATTAAAATTATTGCTTCTGATTGATATATTCCATCAGTACTCAACAAAGTACTACTATATAGAAGGAATAGAAATGGTTTATTTTCCCTTTTTGTTGTTGGGGAAGGCTTTGTCCCTTTTCTATCTTAATTGTCAAGGACCCATATAGTGGCTTTATGTATAATTAAATAAAGGAATTAAGCTCAGAATGTTCATCTCTTAATATTATTTTCATGCAAGGAATGGAGGTAACTTCTGACTTCTGTCAGATACATATATGTTTATTAAGGTAGTTATTTGAGTACATACTAAATATAAGAATTTGATTATAATTGCCATGGTGGATATAATGAGATATATGCATACTTAAATACAAAGCTGTGTAGCAAGTACCAAATGAGTAGATAGTAAATATAGATGTTCCAGGGGTTCTTTTATTAGGAATTACAAGGCCAAAAGTAGAAATAGTCTTTAAATATATTCCCAGATACAGAAAGTTTTTAATACAGACTTTAGCATCTCTTATAATTACTTACATATAGTAGGTGATCAATGCATGCCTCATGAATTGAACTAAAGTTAAATATACCAGGAAAAATAGCAATCGGGGCTCAAACTCACAACCCCAAGATCAAGAGCTGAGATCAAGAGTCAGATGCTGGGGATCCCTGGGTGGCTCAGCGGTTTAGTGCCTGCCTCTGGCCCAGGGCGTGATCTTGGAGTCCCTGGATCAAGTCCCACATCGGGCTCCCTGCATGGAGCCTGCTTGGAGCCTCTGCCTATGTCTCTGCCTCTCTTTGGGGCCTGCATGGAGCCTCTGCCTGTGTCTCTGCCTCTCTCTGTGTGTGTCTCATGAATAAATAAATAAAATCTTAAAAAAAAAAAAAGTCAGATGATTAACCAACTCAGCCACTCAGGTAACCCCTGAGCACTGTAGTTTTTTCTAAGTGATAAGAGGTTACCTGACTAAGCTCCAAGAGGGCAGAGACTGCTTTTGGATTGATTGCTATTGTATACCCAGTTCCTAGCTCAGTGCCCCAGTAAACATGTTCAGTAATATTTTGATTTTGACTTGAATGAATAAAATAGTAATATCCATTTATAGGCCTCCTCAATATCTGAGATTTTTGGATGGGACTGCTTTTAGTGTGGGTTTTCCTTAGGAAGAAAGAATTAAAAAGTGATGACACTGGGCAGCCCTGGTGGCCCAGCAGTTTAGCGCCACTTTCAGCCCAGGGCCTGATCCTGGAGACCCAGGATCAAGTCCCACGTTGGGCTCGCTGCATGGCGCCTGCTTCTTCCTCTGCCTGTGTCTCTGACTCTCTCTCTCTCTCTGTTTCTCATGAATAAATAAATAAAATCTTAAAAAAAAAAAAAAGTGATGACACTAAGGGTAAATGGGAGGCTGTTTTTCATTAGCAGAAATGAGGAATTTCGGACGAAAGAGATGAAGTTTCTGCTATGGTTTGACATTTTCATAACTACAGGTTAAACAAGTTGAGTCACTCACTAGATAGCTTCATATTCTGAAAAGCACGAAAGTCCCTCCTAGTGGACTTTGATAGCAAGAACAACCTAAAAACCTCAGACTGTCACTTGAACCTATATAAAGAATGTTCTTTAGGTTTTTTCATACGTGATTTATTTAAACTTTCAGAACAATTAGCAAACTTGTTACTGCTCTGCTTTTGTCATTTGTGACCTGGGAGAAGCGAGGAAGTCATTTCTTGGTGTTCTGAATATAGAAAAGACCGAAATGCTATTTTTCACGAAGACTGAAGAAACTATCATTGTAAGATCAAGTTATGGAGATGAGTGGCCAACTCTAGCTATCTCTTCTTGCAATGAGGAGATCTTAAACTGCTGCAAGTGATGAATGTGGAAAAAAACCGTATCAGGTATCTTGTGACAGATGAAGATGGAGAGGCAAATTTGACTGTTCAACTATGGGATTCTGAAGGTAGGCAAGATTCAAGAAATAATGTTAAAGTGCTTAAACAAAGAAAAGACAGTCTTTTCAAGGCATCAATGCATATTGACTGAAATTCTAGATGCTTATTCTACCAACATACATTTGGTTGCTATATTGGGTTGCAGGAGACCTTTGCCAATAATTCTTGGGGCAGTTGCACAGTATTTTTCTTATGCCATTTTATGGATTTCTCTGGACACAGATTTTGGCATTGTAGGAGCCACAACATAGGCTTTTGGATTTGTAATAACCTGTACATGTCCAGGAGGAGTGAGGTCTGTTTCTTCTGCTTCTAGAAGGAAATTTCACTTTGGCCATTTTGATAACTTGTGCATCAGCATTCTTGGCACTGATAATGATGTTGGCTAATTCTTACACATACTGTAGGATGTTACGGTTATCATGTACATTTCATACTCCTGTTTCTAAAATTATATATACCTTTCATACTTATATCAGTTGGAATAGTCAACTGTAGAATACCTGAAAAAGCAAACTTCCTGGAGAGAATAATTGGAACTATGAATTTTATTTTAATATCTGTAGGGATTTAGGTGACTTTCGGAATGTTTCTAAAAATAGTTAACATAGATGTGCTATTATTGGGTGTCTAAGTTCCTTCTTTGGATTTGTTTGGATACTCCTTTGCTAAAATTTCTGTTGCCTCTTCTTGTTTGTAAACCCATTGCTGTCAAAAGTGGTATACTAGTTTCTCAGCTCTTGCCATTGTTCAGCTCTTTTTCACAGTCCAAGACCAACTTAGCTTCTGTGGCTTCTTTTACAGTGGTCATGAGTTCTGGATGTGAAAGGTTACTATTCCTTTCTGTTCTACAAGGCTAAGGAAAGTTGTATTCTTATCATAGAATATGAAAGGAAAAAGTAATCCCTTGGTCTAACAAAGCATTAGTGAATTCCTGCTATGAATGAGGTACTGTGGGAGATTCAAGGAATATCTAAAATGATGCCTGTTTTCAATATACTTTAAATATATATATAATATATATTTATTCATAATATATATTATATATATATGTATTCATGAGAGACACAGAGAGAGGCAGAGACACAGGCAGAGGGAGAAGCAGGCATCCTGCAGGGAGCCCTTTACGGAACTCTATCCCTGGATCCCGGGATCAGTACCGGAGCCGAAGGCAGATGCTCAACCACTGAGCCACCCAGGCGTTCCCCTCAATATACTTTTTTATGATCTGATTGAAAGCCTGACATTAGGGGAATGAATGCTAAACACCTCATGAATAGTACAGACAGTTAAATTTACAGAAATTCAGAGGAAGGAGACTACTTTTAAAACTGTGTTGGTTTGGAAATATAGAGTTAGATTTGAATACGATACTTTATTTTTAAAAAATCTTATTTATTTGATGAGAGAGAGCACATGCAGGAGCACAAGCAAGGGAGCAGCAGGTAGAGGGAGAGGGAGAAGTAGGCTCCCCACTGAGCAGGAAGCCTGATGTGGGGGGCTGGATCCTAGGACCCTGGGATTATGACCTGAGCTGACTGCAGATACTTATTGAGCCACCCAGGCGCCCCCTGAATATGACCCTTTATTATGATCTTTAAAACAGGAAAGAGCAACAAAAAAAATAACTCTTCTGTAGTGATTGTGATACATCCCAAGTATTTATGGAAGGGTTCTCCATGTAATAGGCAGTCAGTAAATGCTCATATAGTGAATGAATATGTAAATTCCTATTTGGATCTCTCATCGGCTCCATCAGAATCAGTCTTTTTTTTCCCTCAATGTCTCAAATGTAGCATCTCTGCTCTTAACTGTACTTCCTCTTGTCTTGCACAAGTGTCACTAAAGACATTGCTATATATCCTGAAACACAGGGTCATCTCTTCCCCCTTTTCTCCTTTCTTCCTTCTTCATTCTTTCTCTTAGAGTCCAGTTATTTCCTATAATATCTTTTCATCAATCCCCTCTTCTTTCCCAGTAATATCACTACTTTTCTGCTTTTCTTGCTTCCCTAAGCCTTTAACTGGCTTTTGTCCCCTCTGTGCACTCTCCAATCACTGTCAGATTAATCTTCCTAAAATCTAACTTTGATTATGAATCTTCCCTGCTACAAGCTTTTTTGCCTTTTGAATAAAGTCTGTATTCCTTAGCAGGGCAGTTGTTTATTACACTGTACTATCTGACTTCACTCTCATTTTCCAGTTTTATCTCCACTTTCACTTGTTTACCACAGCCTTTGCTCCATTCAAACTGGATGATTTGGTATCTTGTGAATATGCCTTTGTTCACACTGTTCCTACATACTGAGGGGCAGGCTTCAACTTTATCTAAATTTTGGCTACTCCTGTAGACCTGGCTCAAATAATAGCCTTGCCATGAAGCTTTTGCTAATCCCACTTTAAGTGGGCATTTTCTCTACATTCTCACAATTTTTTATGTTTTATATTTAATCAACTTGGCTTGTTTTATAGCTATTCATATTCCTGTCATACTCTATTTTGCTATAAAACCTTGGACATAAGAATTACAATCATATATAAACAGTGTAATATGATAGTATTAACAATATTCATTTTGATACTCCCCATGTCTAGCACATTTCCTATGTGCTCGTTCAAATAAACAACTGAAGCACAGATGAAGCCCCAAAAAGAGCAGTGTGCTTTTTTTTTTAATACCACTTTTGAACGTTTAGTGGCAATTTTAGTATCTAGATCAAGTTTGCACTCTTCTCCAAAGATAGTGTGGGCACCAGTAATAACTCCCACATTTCTGCCTCCCACATTTCCTTACCATGTAGCTGTAGGCAAATGAATCTTCCTGTAGTCCAGTTTCCTTGTCTAAAAAAATGGAGGTAATATGAACTCTGTCAGATTGTTGTGGTAATTGTCAACCAAGAAAAGGAGGTGAAAATGAACAAGAAACAAAGGCCTTTTATTTGGGGTCTCAGAATTGGAATTCAGAGAGCACAGAGTCTGTTAGCAACCAGAAAAATGTCCCACTCATGGAGAAGGCAAGAGGTTATTCTGAGAAGAATTAGGGTAATTATATGCTTTTGTTAAAGAGAAAAATAAAACCCTGCTAATTGGTGCTAACCAGTTGAGCTGCTTTTGATTACTTACTTTAGTTTCATTTGACAGCACCGATTAATCTTAGTATGTTTTACTTAACTATTGTCTTCATAAACTTCATACCATCAGTTTCATGGTCCTAATACCAGTTCTCTTTAGCAACTGCTTGTAAAATAATTGCCACTTTTGGCCCAGTTCAAGAATCCACTAGTTAGAAAGGAAAAATGAAGCTTCAAAATGGAGTTTCTCATGTTCAGAAATTTTATACAATTCCACAGAACTAAATGGGATCATACTTTTGATACAGTACCTTGCACATAGTACATGCTCAGTGATAGCTGCTGCTGGTTTATCATAGTTTAAACTTTTGATCCTGAAATGTTGACTGGTTTGGAGTATGAATCTGATAATTCTATATGGAGCCTAAAACTTCAAACATTTTCCTATTAGTGATAATCACGGTCTTACCCATAGTATTAGGGAATTTTTGTTTATTTTGCCAACTAAAATGACAACCTAAGTTCTTTTTTTTTTTTAAACTTCATCAAACCCAGTATGTGAATATCAAGATTTATAAAAGACCTGGTTTGGCATGCTGGTAGATGGTTATTATTCACTTCATAAAATAATAATTGCCCACTCAGAATGTTTTACTGATTCCCTTAAACAAATCTCCACTGAGGAGTTTTTAGTTAAGCTTATACAATTAACATACATATATTTTCATGAACATACTTTATTGATTGGGAGACATTGCATTTCTAGTTACATTTTATCATTAACCTTGTGATCTCAAATAAGATTCTCTGCATTTCATCTTCAAATCTGTAAAATGAAGATAATCAACTGAGGTTTAAGATCTTGCTTGATGCCTTAAGTCTCTGGTTCTGGCATAAAACTCTAGGACCTAGCACCATAAGGAGAGTTACAGGATAAAATGAAGAAGATTCAGGTTGATGGGGGACAACCACATGCAGCTGCTGCTTTTTCTAGTAAAGACAACAAAAATAAGAGCTTCTTGAGAGGGACCAAATACTATTCTTTGAATTTCTTACAATGTTTAGCTCAATGCCTTGAATAGACTTATTGCTAATTAACTCTGCTTAATGAGAACTATAAAGGTCAAGATCATATACTTTAGAACCAGACAATGCCTGGGTCTGCATTTCTAGCTCTGTCACCAGTTGGGTGACATTGGTCAGGTTACTTACTCTCCCTGGGCCCAAATTCATATAGAAAGTGGTGATAATGAAAGTATGATGATATTGTTGTGAAGGTTAAATTAGTAAGGTTCTCAGAGCAATGCTTAACACATAGTAAGTTCTATTGTTATTCTATACATTTTTTAAAATGATTTTTATTTTTTAAAAGATTTTATTTATTCATAAAAGACACAGAGGCAGAGACACAGGCAGAGGGAGAAGCAGCCTCCATGCAGGGAGCCCAATGTGGGGACTCCATCCCTGGTCTCCAGGATCATGCCCAGGGCGGAAGGCAGCGCTAAACCGCTGAGCCACCCGGGCTTCCCATTCTCAATGAATATTTGAATGATCTGTAACCTTACGAGCAGCTAAATGCATGACAGAAGTAGGAATATATTTTATTTCTCTTGATAGATATATCAAGAAAGACAGATTTTTTACATGGTAAAATTTTCTAATTTGGATGGGAATAAAGTGTCAGTTTTTTGTTAAAGAATGAGAGGTATAAAGCATGTTGTCTAATTACTTGAGTTCACACCAATCATTTTATATACTCAGGATTGGTTAGACAAAAGATCCAGAGGTAGAGGGGTAAGACATTTTTAAATGTTTTTCCGACCCTTAGGAGGTGATTCCTGAGGTATATTGTTCCGAGAATAAAAGTTCTATCTACAATTCTAACCTGTGTTATGTCAAAACATGAAATCTCGTTAGGTATCTTAGAGACTCCATCCCTGAGGACCTGCACTTTGTGTAAATTTTTATCATTTTAAGATCAAAGCCCACTAAGTAATTAACTAGTAAAGTCTGGGTATGTGGAATCTGATCTCCCCGCCCCCCAGCCCCCCCAGCGATAGGAGTTGCCCTTTAAAAGAAATCAGCTCCGGAGACTCAGGTAGAGTTAACAAGATACCCAAGATTGCTAGGAAAGGAATTAACAAGGTGGTCCCTCTATTCAAATACAGGGCAATTGGGCACTTATTGCTTCTGTTGTTAGATGACCTTAGCACTCTGTGGCTTGATAAAGGACCATCTTCCCCAAAGCCACCTTTTTTGTAGAGTCAGGTGTCAGCTAAAGTGTCAAGGGCATTGGATCTCACCTCTTTTCTCTTTTGAAGTTTAGCATAATTAGAACCTTTGTCGTGGATGGAAGTCAGGCTGTAGGAGAGGATATCTCAAAGACTCGGAAGAGGAAACTTGCCTTTAGGGAAGTCTGGAATGGTGACCGGGATGTCCCATCAGGAAGCAGATTTTGTCCTGGCAAGGTATGCAGCCGATGCTGGAACCTGACCCTTAACCCCCAACGGCCTTGGAACAATGCATGATCTTTGGGACTGGGAACAATGGCTGTAGGTATGACTGTAGCTTTAAGAATTGTCCCTCTGGGCACCCAGGGCAGTGCACCGGGAGCTGAGATCTCTGCAGCCATCCGAACTCATGGCACCGAATAAAATCTTTGGATTGCGTGGGACCAGTGCCAAAACCGAACCGGCGCCCCAGGCTTCCCTGTGCACGACAGCGTTCCGGTGCACTTTCAGGCATTTGGAATCTCTTTGGACTGAAAATACTTAGTTACTTGAGAACAACCGTGAGGTCGCAGCTGAGACCCCTAGGAAAAAAGACTGGACTTCCTGCTCATTTGAGGTAGGAAGTGTGAAGTGATTTTGATTTGAATAAGGAATAAGATTTGATCTTCTGACTTCACATGGCTTACACTGGTTTTAGCTATAACAGCTTTGCCAAAGCAGTGGGACCACGTTCATTTAAAGGAGGCTTGAAGAGGACTCTGGTGACATTTCCTGCAAATGCCTGCAAAATCTCATTACAGAGCAACACTAGTCGCTATGCAGTTGCCAGGATTATTTTAAGACAATGAAGACTCAAAACAAATTTCTCAAGTGTTTCTGAATTTCTGAAGAAAGCGGAGGCTGGCTGCGGAACGGACATTAGAACCTAAAATAAAAAGGCCACTTGTCCAAAGCCGCCGGGGCAGGCCCGCGGGCAGGGCGGGGAGCAGCCTGACCCGGTCTCGGCCGCCGCCTGGGGAGGCCACGCCCACGGGGCGGGGCCGCGGGCGGGACTTCCTGCCGGGGGCCTGTCGCTCCTTCAGGAAGAGCCCCGCTGCGGATCCCGCCGCCCGCCGCCCGCGCCTGACCTCGAGTTGAGGTAAGTCCCGCGGTGGTGCGAGTCCACGGTCTAGGCCGGAGCGGGGGGGGGCGGGGGCGCCCGGGGACGGAGGCCGCAGCCGGGGCCCCTTTATCCTCCTCAGACCCCGCCGCTGGGGGCCACCGGGGACGGGGCCGCCCCCGCCCCTCCTCCCACCCCGTCCTGCGGGGTCCGCTCGCGCCTCCTCCCGCAACCGTTGGGGCAGCTCACCGGGAATTTCTCATTGTACTGACTCGGAGGAAGCACCGAGAGCGCTGGCGCGGCTGGCACGCTGCCGGGGTGGCGGTGGTCCCGGCGTCAGCCGCTCCCCTGGTGCTGCCGCGGCCACACCGGGATGGGGGTGGGGGTGGGGGTGGGGGGCGGGCGGGGATGCCTCAGGCGTCGCCTTCGGGAAAGTGCAGGCACCCGGAAGCGGCAGCTCAGCTCCGAGTGGTTGTGACTGCGGCGGGTCCCCTGAGTGTGATGCACGGAGTTTCCTGGCTCTTCCGGCCGAGGTGTCCTCCGAGCCTCCCTCTGGAGTTCCTTCCCTAGGGGTGTCGTTCGGGCTCAGGGCTCCGGCGTTGCCTGCTCGCGTGACTTAGCGGTATTTGCGGGTCATCTCTTTTCCGTGAGCGGGGGACCTGTAGTCCAGGTGCCTAATTGACATCCCTTTTTGGTTTCAGAAACGCCTCTCATCCTCTCCTGATTTAAACTTTTGATCTCCCCACTTCTGACCCAAAGCTCCAAACCCACTCTCTTCTGTTATTCCCTGTTTCAGTGGACGTGACTGTAATCCATGCAGTTGCTGAAAGTGGGAAATCTGGGCATCATTCCTCTCCTTCATACCCCATATCCAAATTGTTGCTAAATGTCCCCAACTTTACCTCCCAAAGCAAATATTTCTGTCCTCTCAACTTCTCTTTATACACCTCTCCCTCCACTCTCCCAGATTTAAGCCAACCTTCAGGTCTTCCCTGGACTGCTGCATCCTAAATCTAAATCTCCAGCACCCACTCTCCACTTTTCCCTCCCCGCCCCAATCCATTCTCTTCAATAGCCATGGTGAAATGATTCTTCATGGCTCTCAAATCAAAATCTTACCTCCAAGGTCCTGCCTGGCCTGATCCCTACTATCTCCAGTCTCATCCCCCTCCTCCTTCCGTTGATCTCTGAGCTTTCACACCTAGGCCTTTTAGTTACTCTTGGCTTGCATCCTGTAATTGAGTTAGTTAATGCTTATTCACTTGTCCTTTAGATCTTGGTTTAATCATGTTGTCAGGGCAACCTTATCAGATACCTAAGGCCAGGTTAAAACTCTTTGATTACCTGCTTCTCATTGTACTTCTACTTAGCCTTTATTACGTTTGTGGTTTTGCATGTGGCCTAACTTTTTAAAATTTATTATTATCTGACTCCCCACTAGCAAGTAAGTGAACTGGGCCTCTTTTCCTCACTATGATGTAGTGCAGCATGTCGTAGGTATTCAGCAAATAGCTATCAAATGATTAAACAAATAATGAATTTTGGTTGGAGAATCCTTAGAAGAAAGGGTAGCTTTTGAAATGGTCATTGAAGAATTGGTAGGAGTTTTATCCGTGCTGGTAGAAGGCAGAGATACGAGTGGCTTGAGCAGAGTTCCTGACAAGAAAGCAGATGCATTGTTCTGTTAATTTGGTTCTGTTAAACCTGGAAAAGGAATGGGAATAAGAATGGAAAAAATAGGGATCCATGGGTGGCGCAGCGGTTTGGTGCCTGCCTTTGGCCCAGGGCGCGATCCTGGAGACCCAGGATCGAATCCCACATCGGGCTCCCGGTGCATGGAGCCTGCTTCTCCCTCTGCCTGTGTCTCTGCCTCTCTCTCTCTCTCTGTTTGTGTGTGTGTGTAACTATCATAAATAAATAAATAAAAATTAAAAAAAAAAGAATGGAAAAAATAGTTTGGAAACTCCTGAGACACTAAGCCGTGACTTCTGTAACTCAGTAAGTGGCCTCCCTTTTATATTAAATCTAATATCAGGGAAAAAGAGCAACTACTAGCAGAAACAGCTCACTATATCTGTTCTTTGCCCTCCCCTCCTTTCTGCTCCTCTTTCCTACACCATGAGCACCACCGTAGGGGATTTTGAGTAGTCTTTAAGGTGACAAATTTGGATTGCTTTATAAATGACAGCACATTTTTCTGAGTCTGACAGCTTGAAAAACTTCAGTGTCCTAGGTACTGAGTTTAGAATGTGGTCAAGCTGATGGTGAGTTATTTTGGTATTCTCTTCAGAAGTCAGTGGAAAGCTGGACAGGTTAGAAGATGAAAATATGTTGGTTTCTTCCGGGAAATAAATTTATTTTTGTAGTCCTGGAATTTTCTTTTCTTCACATGCTGCAATAGAAAGATCAGAGTACTTTAGTATCAGAATTGAGTATGTATCTTCTGTGCCTTCCTTTCAGAGCTGCTTTAATTTTTCCATTCCCAGTGTTAATTATTTCTCTGTTTTAAAATGTTGGGAAACACTTTATAGAGTGTTGGGGTTTTTTTTTGTAATGTAAATGTTTATACACTAGAAGTGTCTTAGGTCCACTAAGAAATATTCTCCCCTTTCAGTGAATCTTAAAAACCTTTGAATTCTAACATCAGCAAGAGGGCAATTATTACATTTGTGATTTTGTACACGTGTGATTCATTTCCTGAATGAAAGTATGTTGCTAATTGAGATATTTTTGTGAACTATTCTATAATTAAGACTTAGAGATTTTTAACTGTTTTGTCCTGACATGTTAAATCTGTTTAGAAGATGGCTGATCCTTGGCAGGAATGCATGGATTATGCAGTAACCCTGGCAAGACAAGCTGGAGAGGTATGAACTGAAATCTTATCAGCCATAATATGATGGATGTGGACAGTGTGATTGTCCTATTAAATAAAACATGTATTTTAATCTTTTATTTTCCATTTACTAAACATTTTAAATGGAGTCAATACTGATATTATATTGTTAAACTTTTTATGATGATAATTGTGGATTTAAAATAGGATGTAAGATTGTATGATTTTGTACCTAGAAGGTCATAACCACTAAAAGGTTATTTACATTGGGGTAAAACATTTTTAAGAACATCGTTTCAAGCAGATTGAATGTTTTAAACCATTTCTGTTTCATCTTTTAGTTTGATTTTAAAATGATTTATGCCTTTTCTGTTTGCTTATCAAAAAATCTTTTTAGGTAGTTCGTGAAGCTATAAAAAATGAAATGAATGTTATGATTAAAAGTTCTCCAGCTGATTTGGTAACTGCTACTGACCAAAAAATTGAAAAAATGCTTCTCTCTTCCATAAAGGAAAAGTATCCATCTCACAGGTATCTTTTATTTTAGTTTCACATGGTAATTGAAACTTAGGTTGGAGCCAGTGTACTAGACAGATTTTGATTCTAGACACAGAAATTGACTTTAGTTAACTAGAGTTGAGAAGGAATTTATTTGGAGAGTGTTGGCACTAAGAGCAGGGCTTAGGCAGAAATCAGGATGGAAGTCAGAGCTGTAGGTGCCACAGGAGCCATTACCTCAGATGCCACCGGTAGCCTCGTAACTGTTGACTTTAGATACCTTTACCTCATTATTTCAAGATTATAAATCCTGAGCAGGAGTGTCTTGCTGAACTCAGGTTGTTTGCCCAAGCTCAACCTGCCAGGAAGGAGCAAACAAGGTATTTGGATTTCTTGATAGTAAGAGGAATGTTTGGATGCTGGGAAGCTAATATGACAAATGTCTGCCATGGGCATGATTTAGAAATTGTATTCTCTATATTGCAAAATTTTTTTATGTGGTGGAGTGGTAGTAACTTTAATGAGTTTGAGAGAAAATACTAAAATCAGGGCTCTCTTACACAGAGACATATGGCAGAAACATTGTCATCATTTTAAAGTCATTTTCTGCTTTTTTTTTTTTTTAGATTTATTTATTTTAAAGAGAGCGAGCTGTGGGGGGTAGGAGGGCAAAAGGAGAGGGAGAGAGAGAGAGAATCTGAAGCAGACACTGCTTGAGCAGGGAACCTCACGACCCTGAGATCATGACCTGAGCTGAAATCAAGAGTGGATGCTTAACTGACTGAGCCAGGCACCCCTCATTCTCTATTTCTTGGTCATGCCATTAACTCTTCCTGATATTTTAGCTGTTGAGAAGAAAAAATTTTTAAAGCTGTGGCTAAAAATAGTTCCTCCTAGTAAAAAGGTTTACAGCTAAGTGAAAAAAAGGATGAAAGAAAATCATAATGATTATAGGAGAGTTCTGTATTAAATAAAGGAAATAAAATAATAAAGAAAGTAGAAACCTGGCACCATTTACAAAATTCACCTGAGATTTATTGCATAGCATGTTTTAGACGCAGTAATTTTGGTGGGTATTTTGCTTTTTCATTGATTTATTTAATGTTCTCTATATTGTCTATTGCTGCATAGCTAATTATCCTAAAAACTTTGCAGCTCTAGACAACAAACATTTATTAGAGTTTTCTAGGGTCAGGAATATAAGAGTGGCTTGGCTGCCTGGTTGTAGTCAGGATCTCAAAGTTATAGTCAAACTGTTGGTCAAGGCTGTGGTAGGCTCAACTAGGCTTGACAGTTCACTTACGTGATTGTTGGTGACCTCAGTTCTCATGAGTTTCCGGCTAACACCTTCCCTCATTGCCTTGCCTTGTGGGTCTCTCCTTAGAGCAGCTCTTTTTTTTTTTTTTTTTAAAGATTTCATTTATTTACTCATGAGAGGCACACACAGAGAGAGGCAGAGACACAGGCAGAGGGAGAAGCAGGCTCCATGCAGGGAGCCCGATGTGGGACTCAATCCTGGGTCTCCAGGATCACGCCCTGGGCCCAAGGCAGCACTAAACCGCTGAGCCACCGGGGCTGCCCCTTAGAGCAGCTCTTAACAGGGTGGCTGGCTTCCCCTGGGGCAAGAGAGGGAAAAGGATGGAGGGAGAAAGAGGAGATAAGATGGAAACCACAATACCATTTTTTGTGAATGAGTCTTCAGTTGCATATTGTAACTTCTGCTTTGTTCTACTGGTTAGAAGAGAGTCAGTTCAAATTCACACTCAAAGCAATGGGTGTTAGGTTCTACCTCTTAAAGAGAAGAACATGAGGGAATTTGTGGATTTCTTTTTAAAACCACCACATTTCCTTATTCAGTTCTTATCTGCAACAAATGTGTGTGTACACACGTGTGTGCCTTTATTTGAGAATTTTGAATTTTTCACGTGACTTGGCTCTGAGGGAAATAGTTTTCTCACTATCAGTCTGAAAGAAGGAACAACAATAGAAAAGTGTATGGACTTATGTATTATATTGTAGACTGAATCTAAGGAAATGTTAAGGTTTGAACACTGTTGAAAGCAGTATGAAGATTTGGAATTTGTCATTCTTGCTTTTAGTTTCATTGGTGAAGAATCTGTGGCAGCTGGGGAGAAAAGCATCTTAACTGACAGCCCTACATGGATCATTGACCCTATTGATGGAACAACTAATTTTGTACATAGGTAGGTTTTTAAAATGTTAATATTATAATTGCTGTTTATATACAAACTGAATGGACCTAGACACTTTAGAGAATTGTATCATTTGTAGAGCAAAATGTATATGCAGAATTTTCATCAAATATGGAAGAGATGATGAACGTGGGTTTGAGGTGTTTACTATTCTTTTTCTCACTGGTAGAGCCATATAAAAATGTAAGCAAGCAACAGTGCTGCTTTGAGATTAAGGAACTAATGGAGTCAATTTTGGGGGGTCATAAAGAATGTTGTCTATGTAGGGGGTTCAGTCCAAGAGAGAAAACTGTTAAAAAGAGCATGGGTTTTAGGATCAACAGACTTGAGCTTGAGTCCAAATGCTTGAATAGGCTTTGTGACGTTGGGCAAGTTATTTAATCTTCCTAAGCCCCAGTTGTTGTTCAATGTGTAAAATGGGCACCTTAGTAGTACCTGCCTCATAGAAATGTTTGTTCTTGGGATTCAGTAAGTAGTACTTTTATATAAGAACTTAGCATAGCGCCTGGCACAAAGTAAGTTTGTAACTCAGTATATTAGCACTAAAAGAAAGCCTGGATAGGCTAATTCAGGAGGATTACACATAAATGTTATATTTGAAGTTGCCATGTAGCTGTACATATCTTTACTAATACAGAATTGTTAAAGTCTGTAAAACCAAGATCTAGAATCTATGATGGAGAGTTAATGTAGAAGGATGCTCCTGGTATATTATAGAGAAGATTCTAATACAGAGTGTATACTATGATCCCATTTTGGTTAAAACTGTATTAAGTATTTCTTAAATTTTTTTATTTTCAGTAGTTGACACGTTTTGTCATATTTTCTTCATTTTTAACTCTTGAGTCAGAAATTATAACCTATGTGTTCAAACTGTCACACAGCCATAGCAATAGGTGTAGCTAACAGCACTTTTCAGATATGAAATTCCAAATTTGGTATTAAGGGCAAGTAACAATTTGTTCTGTATAATTTAATACTTGTGTTTATAGGTCCTGACTCTGGGAGAAATGACCCAAGAAAAGAAACTTTTCTTTTTAACCATGAACAATTATAATTTGACTTTGTAAAATATATTTTTAAAAAGTAATAATACAGTTAATATATTCATAGCATTCAACTTTCCAAAGATATAAAATGCCACACAGTGCAAAGTGTCCTTCAGACTTCTGACCCCAGTTACCCAGGACCAGTCTGAAGGTGGCTTCTGTTAACAGTTTCTTGTGAATTCTTTGAGATGTTTCATGCCTGTAGAAACATCCTGTATGTATGTATGTGTATCCACTACTTCTCCCTATATTTCCCATTATTTACACAAAGGGCTGCATACTATACATGCTGTTCGGGGAGAGGAGGGGTGAGATATGAAAAAATTATATAGTCATTTACATTATGAAAAAATGTGTTTATTGAAAATAGTTTATCTTGGTAAATTTGTGTTTTGTTTTGTTTTTTAAGATTTCCTTTTGTAGCTGTTTCCATTGGCTTTACGGTAAATAAAAAGGTATGCTGTTTAAATTTATGGTAAAATGCCTTGCTCTCATTTTCTGAGAAAGAGCAAATGTGTGTAATAAATTTAGATTTGTCTCTATATTCAGTTTATATAGCTGCATTATTTCAAAGTAAGCTGCAGAACTGTTAAAATTGTCATGATACCTTTTCCAGTAAAGAAAATTTAATGTTTTCTGAGAAGCAAGAATTAAAAGGAAAAATACATGCAAGTAACTGAAATGCAACTCCGTATTTAATCACCATTATGTATGTGATAGAGTCAGATGTAATAGGAGTTGATGGGTGATCTATAATGCTTAATGGAAAGGTAGGATTTGAGCGGGTAATGTCTTAGTAGGTGTCAGTGAAAGGAGACTTAGAAAGACCAGAAAGTGGTAGGGGCCAGAGCATGGTTGGGAAATGGCGAGTATGTTCAGGAACCCAAAAGCTTGCTATATCTAAAACCCAGCAGAATACAATCTGTAGCTATTGCACTTCCTTGCTGTTTGGCTATTTGATCAAACGATGAATGATGTTTGCTAACATCTTACATACCTGAATTCAAGAGACTTAAATCTGTGAAAATAAAAACACATCTTAGGCATGGGTTGTGTTAATTAGTAAGAACATCTGAAAGAAGCTAAAGGAGCCTTTAGCATAAAATTAGCCCTGGGCAATGTGCTGTCCCTGCCACTGAACTAACAGCTCATGCAAAAGTTAGATGTGCGAACAGATAAATATGTAGTGGAACTATGAAAAAAATGCCATGAGAACATGAAGGTGTATCCAATTCTGCCAAGAGTGGTTTGGGGAAATCTTCATAACAGAAGTGGTCTTAGAATTTGATTATGTGAGTTGGGTTTTAGAAACTTAGGAGTTTTCCGGGTAAAGAAGAAAAGGAGGAAAGCATTATAATGAGAAAGAATAACTTGGAGTAGAGCATGATGTTTGTGGGGAGCGAGATGTTCATTGTGATTGAAACCCTGAAAGTGGCAGGAGCAGAATTGATGAAGTGAATTAGTTGTGGTTTTATTGTGAGGCACTGTGGCCTGTCTCTGCCAGCATATTTATATTTTGTTTTTAGGTAGAAAACCTGTAGCAGTTTTTCAAGAACAGAGTGACAGATAATTCTAGCATTGTAGAGTCCTACCAGAGGGGCATGGCAGGTGATTCTCAACTAAGATGGGGCAGTGAGGGTGGCCGAGGAAATGGCAAAATCAAGAAGTGCTTTCAAGATAAAATTTGAAGAAGACAGATACATGGGGAAGGAATGAGGTATGATGAGGTGGTAAATTATTTTTGACCTCTTTGGTTGAGGTTCCTGGAAGGCTAGCAGAAGCATAGGTTTTTCCATGTGATAAGGGGGTTATAGGTGATATAGACCACAGTTAAAGGTGGTAGTTGAATGTATGGACTGCAAAGACCAAACCCTATAAGAATATAGACCTCCAAGAGGGAAATGAAGAAGTGAAAGAGTGAACGAATCCTGACCTACACAACATTTAAGGATTGTACAGAGAATGAGGCCCTTAAAAAAGAAAAGTGATATGAAGATAGATTAGTGAGGTGTAGGACTAAGGGTACTGCCAGAAACATGGGGGTGTTGGATTAAGTAATGAAGAAGAGTTGATGATGGTCAGCAATTTCCAATTTTCTGAGTGGGCATTTGGGAGGAGTTCATGGGTATTCTCTTTCAAGGAAGTTTCAGAAGTGTGTGTGATCAGAGCAGAAGCCAAACTGTAATTTTTATCAAGAGGAGAATAGGAGAGGCAAAGTACAGACTACCCTTTGGCAGTGAAGGGAAAAGAAGATAACATCTTGGAAATTTTGTAAGGGCAGTAGAAATTTGGTGTGAACGTACCAGAATGGAAATCTGACAGAAGATTATCAGCTGATTGGAGATTTTCAGAGAAGCCTGAGAGGGTAGGAATCACAATACAAAAGGAAGTATTCACCTTAGAAAATAGGAAATATTTGTCTATCTGAGGCAGGAAGGTTAGAGACCAAAGTGGGTGCTCCTAAGTTGAGAAATGGATGGGACAAGTGTCCAGGATTCCAGTCTGATGACCTCTTTCTCTGTTTAAGCTGGAAACTAGCATTTTTTAAGTATCCCATAGTAGTTATTTGAAAACATTTTCAGTATACCAGGTTGATGACTCACACAGTCACACACATAAGATACTATCTCTATCTCTACTCTTTATTTGTATCTGCTTCCTTCCAATTCCGCACTATAAGTCTGGAGTTGTATATATAGCAGAAGAATTTGTCTCTCTATTATATCTATCTCTCTATATAGAACAAAAACTCTATATATCTCTATCTCTCATCTATTAAGGGGTTAAAATAGAGAGCAGGTGCTGGATATTATTTTGTTTTATAGATATCATGAGTATGTGGATATATCATCTTTAGTAGGGTTTGTTTACTTGAGTAGAGAGCATGGGGTGGGGGCAAGCTCTCGTATTAACCACTCGCATGAGAGTGTTACAATTTAGAAATGGATGGTGTTTGACGTGAGGAAGAGAGACACCAACACACGCTGGTAAAATGTTTTGTTTTAAATTAGACAGACGAGAGAGAATAGCTTTAGACTCGCTGTTAAACACACACACGAGTGTATATATATATATCTGTGAATTTTATGTGTATAATATTTATAATTGATTAGATGAGTTGAGATGATAGAGAGTGTTCTACCATAATTTTCATAGAATCTATATCAATTTATCTCTCTTAAATGTATTTTATTATTTATGTAAGAACTTAGTAATAATAAGAAAGAAGAGATTATTAATGCTCATCTCAATAATACTGTTATTCTAGATAGTAAATGAATCTCTAGCTAACTATGAGACGAAGAATTACTCAATACACATATGAGAGCTAGGATGATAGTTAATAGGGGTTAACACAGACAATTATTTATATGTTTGAGTTGGTAGCCTATCTATACTCTCTCTTTGTGTTATTGGTTTTTTGATGAATTCTATCTTAAAACGAAGGGGTATGGATAATTTGTATTGATAAGGATGGAATGTTTAATGAAATATGGGGGATATGGGGTTAGGATTGTAGGGATGATATTTTAGGTTGTAGGATTATATGATTATTGATTTGGATAAGTATAGGGGTGTTTGGTTATAAGATTTTATAGGTTTTGTGTTGGGGGGGGTGTTTTGTTTTTTATTTTTTTTGAATTTAGATTGTATTTTTATAGAATAAAAATAGTTTTATATGAGTAAATTTAATTTGAAAAGTAAAAACGTGCATCTTATAATCGAAGTATAGATTATAATCTATAATCTACTACTTAGTAGCTTTTGTAGAAACCAAACCTTTCCCTTTTTACAATTTTTTTGGCTTCTTATAGTTTTTAATTAGATGATGTAATGATTAGAGAAATAGCATTTGTAAATATGTTCGGAGCAAGCTGCTAAGCGTACCCTGGTGAAAGGAGATGAAGTGGAGGGTACACCAGGAAGCCTGTTAACGGAGAGTGTTGAGTGTGGCATGAGCCCCACTCATGTTGTTTCTTTTGTTTTGTTTTGTTTTTGTTTTTGTTTTTTTGTTTTTTTTAAGTCCTGTTGTTTCAAAGACCGAATGGAAAGCATGGGGTAATCTGTCAAGTTAGTAAATGGAGGCCAGCCACCACTTTAATTTTAATTTTTGTTTTATGTCAAATGTATAAATTATTTCTAAATCCTACTTTTTAAATGTTTATATAATATTTGCTTGTTTCTCACTAAAGGGGCATGCATGCAAGCAAATTGGTTATAGTCTACAATTTCAGAGGATGATGTAAAAAGCAGACTCTTTGATTATAAAACCAGTCACTTGAGGTTAATAAATTTATCAGAATTTTAATACTTTAAGGCTTAGAAAGAAATTTGATACCATTCAGGATGAGGGATAAAAATCTTGCTTTATTCTGAATTACAGGCATCATATTTTTAAAATCAGAATTCTTATTAAACTCTAGTGATTACTTAAAACATTCTCTTTTAGATATTACCAAATCACTCTTGGTGACAGAGTTTGGCTCTTCCAGAGCACCAGAGACTGTAAAAATTGTTCTTTCTAATCTGGAAAAGCTTTTGTGCATTCCTATTCATGGGTAAGTTTTTTTCATTTCTTTCTTGAAGCTCCAGAAAATTTAAAATTTTCAAGAATGAATTTTCCTTTAGAAATGAAATTTTTAATTAATAGCTTGGGATCAGTACCATAATTCTAATTTTGTAATTCCACAAGGCTTTTTATTTGAGAATGATTTCAAACTTAACAAAATTTACTGAAATAGGGGGAAAAAAGTATACCCTTTACCCAGATTCACCTGTTAACATTTTATCCCTTTGCTTTGTCATTTGATCATTCCCTCTGTGTGCGTGTGCATGCACATATATCACCATTTTTTACCCTTAACTATTTTAGCGTGAATTACTTATTTTATGGCTCTTCACTCCTAAATGCTTTATTTCCTGAAATTAGGGATATTTTCTTCCATGACCACAGTAAATTGTTGACTTCATAAATTCACTATTTATCTAATCTACCATCCACATTTAATTTTGACAGTTGACCTAACAATGTCCTTTGTAGCATTTTCTTCTCCATTGCAAGAATCAGCCTAAGGTCAAACATTACATGTATTTATCATATCTCTTTTAGCCACTTTTAATCTGGAATATTTCCACAGCCTAAGGGATTAGCCACCTCCTTTCAGTTTTCAAATTATTTGCTTGAAAAATATAAGTAGACTCTTAATTTGTTTTTTGTTTCTCTGTTTCAGTTTCCCCTTGTCACTTCTTATTTTCTATATTTTTACTTTCTTCTTTTTGTAAATCTTGATTAAAGTTTTAGTGGTCTGTCTTTTTTTCTCCAAAGAACCAGGATTGTAATTAATTAATCTGATTTACAGTTTTTCTTCTCTGCCTTGAATTTATTTTTATTCTATTTTTTTATTAATATAAGTATTTAGGCTATGAACTTTTATCTTACCACTGTTTTAAATGTACCTCATAGGTTCTAATATGTAGGATTTTCATTATAATTATTTTTCACGAAATCTGTAATGTGTACTTTCCATTTCACCTAAGAGTTCTTAAATTTCTACAACGAAAATTTTTTTTTAATTTCATTTTTAATTTAAGTAGTTTTATTACATCATAATGAATCTGCTATAGAGCCTACTAATATTTGTGCCTAGTATATGATTAAATTTTGGGGACAGTTCTGTATGCACTGAAAAAAAGTATATTCTCCATTATAAGGGTACAATGTTTGATATATAACCTAAAGATTGACCTTATGTTTTTTTGTCTACTTCATCTGCCTGATACTGAGTGATTTGTTAAATTCTCCTATAATTGGTATGTTTCTCTTTATTTCTCCTTGCAACTTTTAGAGCTTTTATCTTATATAAGATGGAAGCTGCATTATTGTGATGCCTATATACAACTTTTATGCCCTGTATAATTTTAACTTTATATAGTATACTTTGTCTTGTTTCATGCTTTTAGACTGAAAGTCTATTTTGACATCAAAATTGCAAAGTCTACCTCCTTATTATTGCTATTTGCCTAGTAAATCTTGGTTCACTCTTACTTTTAGCCTTTTTTGAATAGCTGTTTTCTAAGTGTATGTCTTGATTACAGTATGGAGTGGAGTTCTGCTTAAGAATGCAAATGAAGGGCAATCCTGGTGGCTCAGTGGTTTAGCGTTGCCTTCAGCCCAGGGCCTGATCCTGGAGACCCAGGATCTAGTCCCACATTGGGCTCCCTGCATGGAGCCTGCTTCTCCCTCTGCCTCTTTCTGTGTGTCTCTCATGAATAAATAAATAAAATCTAAAAAAAAAAAATGCAAATGAATTAAGTACTTATTCTTTTAATAAAACAGGGCTATTCATTTATTAATATATGATTGTTTTGTTGAGTCTCAAATCTACCCTTTGGTCTTAGTTTTTTTGCTTGACTTCAAGGAAGAACGGGAAGCATTTTATAAGGTTTTATGAGTCACTTTTATATAAAACTCATCCTCTATAATTCCTTGAGAGCACATGTGCTTGGGATTCCATGAGTTCTAGCACTTTCCAAAGTATGAACTTCTCAAAGTATGTTGCTTTTGAGAAATCTGATGCCATTCCATTGTTTTTGGCTTTTAAATTCATGTTTTACTTGGAGACTGAGAATTTTTTTTCTTTTAATTTTTCACAGCTAATAGTTTTACAAGGGATATATCTTGGAATTGCTCATTCTGGCAGTTTTCTCCTTTAATATGTATACTCAGGTCTTTTTTTCATTCCGGAACATTTTTTTTTTTGAGTTCTAGTTCTAAATACTATTTGTTTTCATTTTCTGTTCAGTTTTCATTTTCTTCAGGACACTCTTAAGAATGTTCAGCTACCTTTGTGTCGTCTTTTCAGCCACTTTCTCTCTGGTCCTTTTTACTTTCCTGTCTTGCTTTTCCTCATTGCCCTTGATTATATTTTATTGGCATCTGTTATTCTTCAGGTGGTACCTTGTGATGGAGTTTTCATTCCTGATAGAATCTTGTCCTCTCCTCTCCCGCACCTTCTTTTCTGAATTAACTCCCTTTTTTGTTTCTTCCTCCAATCCTGCCTCCCAATTTCTGCAGTAGTTTTTGTATTTTTTCATTTAACTCCCTCCTCCGCCCCCATATTTACAAATATTTGAGGATATTTAATCCAGGTTGGATTGATTTTCAGTTTTTTACAGCTTCATTGTTGACTTTTTGTGGGAGACTTTATCGGGCAAAAATACCCCAAACACTTTCATTAGCAATTGTCTGATGTTTTACAGTAGTTTTGTATGGATGTGGTTTCCTTTTTTCTATTTCTGTTCATTGTGTGATCAGGGTTCCTGGTTTCAGAGCTCCTTATGCTGTCAGTTCTGCCCTTTTGTGCAGTTTCTTCCATGATAATCTATTTAATTGGGGGGGGGGGGGTGGCGAGGGTTGGCCAGTCTTGTTTCTTTCATTTCTGCAGGATCCATACTTTTTCACTTCTCTTTTCCTTCTTTGTCTAAAAGAGATGCCACCTCTTTTTTTTTTTTTTTTTTAGATATGATGGACATATATTTTGAGATATAATTGACCTCTAACATTGAGATATAATTTAGATAACTATGGCATACAACATAATGATTTCATATTTGTATATATTGTGAAATGATCACCACAGGAAGTCTAATTGATATCCATCACCACATATAGTTAAGATTTTTTTTCTTCTTGTGGTGAGAACTTTTAAGATCTACTTTCTTAGCAGCTTTCAAATATACAATACAGACTATTATTATTATTATTATTATTATTATTAAAGATTTTATTTATTTGACAGAGAAAGAACAAGCACAAGCAAGGAGAGTGCCAGAGGGTGAAGGGGAAGCAGGCTCCGACCTAGCAGGGAGCCCAATGCAGAGCCCTGGGATTATGACCTGAGCCGAAGGCAGACACTTAACCAATTGAGCCACCCAGGTGCCTCACAATACAGAATTAAAAACAGTAGTCACCATGCAATATATTATGTCCCTATGGCTTACTTTATAACTGGAAATTTGTACCTTTGGGACCTCCTTTAACTATTTTGCCAGTTCCCTCATTTCCTTCCCCCTGGCACCCACCAGTCTGTTCTCCATGTCTGAGAGCTTGATTGCTTTATTATTTTGTTTTCTTTTTAATTGGTTATTCTACATATATGGGTAATCTTATCTGACTCTTCCCAAGTACAGCTTCTCTGCAGCTGTGAGTTTAGGTTCTACTTTTTTCCAGCCCCTTCCCTGTAGCAGGACTATGAATTACCAATCCTTATACATGTTCAGCACTTTTGTATTTGTTGTCTCACTTTCTCTTTCTTAAGATAACTTTGTCTGTATGCCCTCTGAGTCCTCTGCTTCCTTCTCCTCCTTGTGATAGTCTTTTCTGCCTCCTCTCCCCAACTCTGCATCCACGAGCTTGCAATGCTCTATTAGGATTCTTTTGTTTTTCCTTATACTTACAGGTAGAGAATTTGTGTTTTCTGGTTCCTAGAACTGCTGAAGGAATGGGTCCTGTGGGTTTTACTTGTCCTTGTTGATTTATTTTTATTTTGGGGAAAAGGTAATGGTGCGTTTTAAATCAGAATGCCACTATTCTCCAAACCTCAGAGTCCTTCTGTAATTGAAGTTTTATAAGTGACAAAATTAAAAGCAAATATTAATAAATATATACATTTGTCCTTAAGAGAAGCTAGAGTTTTGAGGTTCTTAAATTTAATATAAATAGCATTTCTCTTTTATTGTAATTTTTTTCATGAAAAAAAGAAAAATAATTACAGATTTTTGTGATTTTATTTCACTACCAGCTGTGCTTATCTTTTTCCTTCTGAAAATAATCACTGACTTTAACACTCTTAGAACTGACTTAAAACATCTGATAATTCAGACTTATTTGTAGGTGAGTTGACTGAGGCTCAGAAAGGTAAAGTGACTGCTTAAAGATCACACAAGTAACTGGAGATGCAACTAGACCCCTGGCTTCCATACCAATTCTTTCTCCAACATTAGAATTTTCTTCTAGGAATCAGGACATTCCATGTACAGTTTGGCCATGGTACAAACTACATTTGTAGGCTATAAATCTGTGATATATTTAGTAATAAGTAAAAAGAGAAGAGTTCCTGTCAAGAAGGTATGGTACGTACCTACAAGCACTCAGATGGCTCAGTCTAGAGCATGCAACTCTTGATCTTGGGGTTCGTGAGTTCAAGCCCTACATTGGGCATGGAGCCTACTTAATAGAGAGGGGGATAGAGAAGGTATAGAACCTCCCAGACCGATGTCCTTGAGGGAAGAGCAATATGATTTTAAAAGCCTACAGCTATAGTGTGCTATTCTGAAGCAAGGGCTTTAACTGTGGGCAATAAAATGTTTATGTTAGTCATAATAGAGCTGTAAGTGCTTTATAACTTTAACCTTATATTTTTCCATTGTCTGAAGTAAAAAGTAAACAGTGACCTTTTATTTTTAGATTTTCTTAAAAGTATAACCAAGAAAATATTGCCAAGTAGAAGTGCTGATGTACTGATTTCTTTTGCGTTCTGCTGAGTTTTGAGTTTTTCTT